GCGTCTCACAAGACCGCGGTTGGTGATGCGGTTGCAGTTGTGGTAGTGGTAGTGGTGGCTGTTGCTGGTGCGGTTGGAGCTGGAGATGAGGTTGTCGCTGAGGCGAGGCATTGTAAAAACAAGCGATAAGAGAATGGGTGTAAAGAGAAAATCCAACGGAGGGGGGGAACGATGCTTTTTTATACCTTTTTTTTTCTTTTCGATTCTTTGGAATGTTTCTTGGCCAATAATATTCAAGGTAAACAACGGGTTATTATGGATAAGATATGCATGTACTAATCAAAAAGGCGTAATAACAAAAAAAGCTTTTTTTTCTTTGATGAATATTCAAGTCTTTTCTTTTTTATTCTTTGTTTTCTTTACTTGAGCAGTGTAGATTTTGTTCTTTGCTTTATTATGTTAGAGTCCAAGAGACGCAAAAGATAGGTTATGATATTCAAACTGCCCTTTGAGAGTACTGTCCATGTAAATGAATACTAAAAAGCAAAGGGAGTACCTTTTCTTTTTTTTAAAAAAAAAAAGCGGAAGTGATAACCCTTGGGCTGCATATTCTTATCAAACACATTCCTTTTTTCTTTTGCTTCTTAGATTACCTTGAGTCAATCATTTGCAATTTAGAATACACATTGTTGTGGTGGTTGAAGTTGAAGAAGTTTTTAAGAGGAAGAATTCAAGATTTGAAATTAGGAACGAAGATTCGTGAGAACTTGTGTAGGTTTTGTTTATTGAGAAAGATTTTGTATCAAAGTTTGACGAGGTTCCTACACTGAACTACTACTGCTATTTATATTGTTTTGGATTGGGAAAATTATATGACTGGGGTCAGGTAATCGATCCTATCTGAGCCTTAATCAGAGCAACGTGATCTTGGGATAATTAATGTATGATTAATTATATAAATGTGTGTAGTCCCAATGAAGTATTAACATCAAAAGTAAATGTGTTTATGAGTTATAATTATGCTTATAATAATCCACTGATGTATCCCATATTATGGTGATATCATCATATGAAATATAATCACTATCATGCATGCTAAACCTGTGTGTTAAATAATAAAGTAATCGGTAGACACCTTTGACTGGAATAGCTGATGCCTTATATTATTTCCTTCAGACTTATTCTCAATTACAGCAGTAGTCAATACTCATTTACAACACACATGCTGGCAATAGAGTATCTGACTGGGGAGTTAAGTAATTAGTTATAGCTTTATTATTAGTAATGGCGTTCGATCTGCAAAGTGCCTATGGTCAGGTTGTTGGCCTGGACAACTGACTACCAATTCGTCTCATTCCTTTTTACCTAACGCAATATTCTTATGTTGCTGCACTTATTTGCCGATTAGGGGCAACCAACAGCTGCGCCTTCTGTACCAAGTTCTCAAAGCTAGTATAACAAGGAATCGTAAGTAATTACTTGAATTTTTCTTAAAGATATATTCATATATATATATATACAAAACAAAGCCGTTTGTACAAATTCTCATTCAATTCAAGAAAAATTATTAGAGGTGTTCTCTAGCGTCCTCAATATATTTATTATATAAAAGTGCTATGGTCGGTCTGATCGACAAATATAGAAATTTTTGCTAGTATTATGGTAATGATGTAATAAATAAACAGCTATTGAGAGTAAGGGGGTACATATTTCTAATTTTCAAATATAAAACTATATATTTTTTTATTACTATCAGTACCCCTTTTGAAAATTGTTATTTTCTTTTATTATCAAGAGTTTTGTCTTAAAGTCGAATAATATCTGTTTGCTCTTAGAAGTAAGATCAAAAAGAAAAAGCCTTCATTGATTGATTGACTTCTTTAATATTTTTTTAAATGATTTTATACTGTTGGAGTATAGTATTGACTAGAGCATCAAATTAGTAGTTCAGATACAGTACTTGCATTTAACTCATCAAGCGCTTTTATTTTTTTATAAAAGAAAAACATTTAGGGGGCTTCAATATTTTTTTTGATAAAGCATTCTGTTAGTAATTGTGTTTCTATTCCGTGAGCATTTTCTATCTGCATATTTCTTTATCTTAATTTATAATTTTTTTTGAAGTATAAAGCTGTCATGGAAAAACAAAAGAGTACATTGAATGGACCTGATTCTTGTTCTGTTAGCCTGCAAATATATTACTAGAAAAAATAAATACGGAATTATTTAGAGCATTTACAGCACGTAGCACTTACATTTTTTTTTAAAAAATTGTCTGCAGCCATGGAATTTCCAGTAGCAATGCATTTTATTACTCTTTTATATTCATGACTATGAGCATAAAAAATTACATATAGCACTCAAAAAAAATAGTTGCCTTTGTGTTTTAATCACTTCCTCTTCTTCTTTAAACCAAAACTAATATATAGCAATAGTTAGAAAGTCTCAAAGAAATTATGCTCACTACAAAGCTGATAATGCTTAAATTATTTAACTTGCTTTTTTGTTAAATTACAATTAGAGGAAAAGGGTCTAATAAAAATATCTGGAGAAAATAAGAATGTATTTGAAAGTATAAGTATTTTTCAAGTGCTTTTTTATTGAAAATAAAAGTGCTACAGTTGCAAATTCTCATAAAATCACAGAATCTCAAAAGATTTCATAATTTTTAGAAAATAAAATTAAAAGGGGGGAGTGAGATGAATATCAGTCATGCGATCCATGCAAGAGTGGCGTTTTAGAGAAACCTTATATTTTTTTATAAAATGATTGGGTAGGGGCAATCAAGTGTTTCAAAAAATATCACCACGGCTAGGAAAACTTTGGTGATTTATAAACCGGTTCGTTGGACGGGGTAGCTATTTGTTTCAGAAACGCCTAAGTGTTTCAGAGAATTTTTTAGATATTTTTATAAATTGAATTAGACGGCCTAGTTTTTTTTTACATATAAATTTGATGCTTTTGTGAGGCAAAAAAAGAGATACCTTCACCATTCATTTTGTTAACGAATCTAAATATATCCTAAGATTTTCAGAATTGGTCAATACCCAAAAATCGCCCCGTTACTATTCGTTTATTAAAAAATCCAATGCTTTTCTAGACTCTTAGAAATAATTTCAACATATAATCAATCCTTCACTATTCGTTTTATAAAACCAACCCCCCAAGACTCTCTTAACTCTGACTTCATAAACACATAACTTACCCTTCCCCCCACTCTCTCACTCCCCCCTTTTAATTTTCTTTAAAAATTGCAAAATTTCTTAAAACTCTGTGATTTTATTATAGAATCTGCAGCACTAGCACTTTTACTTTTACTTTTACTTTCAGTAAAAAAGCACTTGAAAAATACTTATACTTTCAAATACATTCTTATTTTCTCAAGATATTTTTATTTAAATCTTTTTCTTTTAACTATAGTTTAATAAAAACAAAAAGCAAGCTAAATACTTTCAACATTATCAGCTTTATAATAACCATAATTTCTTTGAATTATTTCTTTTAATTATTGCTATATACTATTTTTCGCCTTAAAGAAGAACAAAATTAAAGAGTGAAAAAAATAACCATTTTTTTAAAATGATCCATTTGCTTCCCACACTCAAGCTCATAGACATTAAAAAGCAATAAAATACGTTGTAGTTGGAAATGCGTCAATTACAGAAAAAGCTTAACATCATTTTGCAAAAAGCATTTAATTAATAGACAAATTGAATTTAAATATTAATTTTTTATATACCTTAATGATCCTCTATTTTTTTCGGTTACTACTCACATATTTGCAGATTAAGAAAATAATAATTACTACATTCAATTCACTTTCTTCTTTTTTGAATAAAGCAGTTGAATCTTTAAAACAAACTCATAACCAAGATGAGTAAAAAAAATTAAATATTCAAATAGAAGATGCTTAGGGAATCTATTGTGGAAAGATTTTTTTTTATTGAAAACCTCTAATTTTTTTATAAAACTAAATATATAAAAAAAAGATGAGATATACTAAATATTAAGACAGTGCTATAGTATGTAATATACTCCAAATATGCGAGTCTATTTGAAAGTATATTAAACAAATAAATCAATAAATTTTCTTTCTTTTTGGATTTAATATATATTGAAGTAGCTGTATAGTTTTCTGTTCATAATAAGCGCATATTTATTACTTAATAAACTATTTTTATTCATAAATATGTAATTGCTGCAACAGACAATACTGTTTTCCAAAAAAAAATATGAAAGTTTCCTGGAAAGCTGAAAAATTGAATAGAAAAGCTGTTTGTTATTTGATAGAAATTTCCTGACTATTTACATGAAAATATAGATAATTGATTTGATAAAATTTGTATTAGAATAAAGATGTCAATTGTACCAGCTTATTTTGAAAAATAGTGATATAAAATCGAAAATAAGAAAAAGTAATCTGTAAAATAAGATAGTGGGATTTCAGAAAGAAAAGATAGCTATGAAAAACATCTTATTAGAAGAGGAAGAAATTGAAACTTCAGAAAAGATAGTAATCATAAAGACAATGCAATCAAAGTGACATTTGGAAAGAGAGAAATTGCAAAAAAAAAATCAGAGTATTCATCAAATGTAAAAGAGCACACTTGATTAATATTTTTACATGCTTGATGCATATAAATTTTATCAAGCGACTCTTGTTTCTTACGTCACATACTGCTTACTAGAAATAATTTCAAAGAATGAAAAACTTACTGCTTTTTTCTTTACATATATTTTCCTTCTTTCACTTGCTTCTCTAATACATTGTTTTAGTGAAAACTTTAGCTTTAACTCCAGCCACTACCTTAGTCTTACAAGACGTAAATTTTATTCTGAATTAAAGTAAATGCATTTAGTAGGTTTTTTCTTGTCTTATCTATTTATATAATAATAGACAGATAAACAATAAGATATTAATAACAAACCTATATATACATGGTTTCTTTCTTTCCAAGTGGAATAAAAAGATTGCTCAGAACGTGTACTATAATTATATGACACTTGGTAAAAAGAAATATAGCAGAAAGCCTCACCTAGAAAGAAGTACATGGTAAGCAATGTCTTCACTAGTTACCAGTCAAATATTTTCAGTATTTGTAAGTAATTACAAGTATTATTTTCAAATACATATACCTACATTTTAGTCAATATAAATATATTGTAAATAGAATCTCATACATTAGGGCAATCTACTGGAAACCCATCTGCATCTTCCAAAGAAGTGTCTAATGACTATCTGACATTCAAGCTAAAAGAAATTAATGTTTTTCTTGTAGAAGAATATATGATTATTGCAGAAGCTGCATTAATTGAAATACTAATAATTAAAGAGATTTTTCGCCCAAAAGAAGCAGCTGCAAAAGAAGAAATTGTCGTCTATGAGGCTGCTTTATATGAAGAAAGATGCTCAGCTTTTGCGGAGGCAGAATCTGCTTCAAGGAGCAAGTATGTTGCACTTGCATTTGAACGTGCAGCAGAAATGGCCGAAGAAGCAAAGACACAGCAGAAGATCTAAGTTATAACGGAACAAGCCGTACATGCTGGGTGGAGAGCAGAAGACTGCGCAAGAGAAAAACTGCCGCATGCAGAAGCTCCAGCTTGCAGAAGCCGCATTACTTGCAGCCACCGCAAAGAAATTGGCCGAAGAAGCCCAGGGCAATGCATCAGTGGCAGCAATCCCCCGGCTGCTCTGATTAAGACCAACCACTGGGTCGCATATGCCAGAACAGTGTTGCCATACGTAGCAAAAAAAGTATTCCACTAAATATTTAAAAACAAAAACTATTAACAAAAAATATTTATTTTCAAAGAGCCAGAAGTCAAGTTCCAAGAAATTGCCAAAGTTTGTTAATTTAAAAATTAAAAATTCTTTTATTAGTGTATTTTAATAGTCAATATTCAAAAAATAAAAATAAAAATAGAGAATATTATATTATATTTTTGGCTGAAATTTATAATCTGCTTTTTTTAGATGTAGAATTACTATTAACACGTTTCTCTCTGCATTCTACACTTCTTTACTATCACTATAAATTTTATTTAAGAAAATATATTTTAATAATATTTTTTCGTAAATAAAATAAAATAGGCAGTACATTTTTTCAATATACTTTTACATAGTAAATTTAAGTGGAAAAGCAAGTATTTGTTAAAGCTACTTGGAGTGAAATCATTATATGCGTATACCAAGAGATTATGTGATTATGTATTTGTTATGATAGTAATTTTATGTCATTATGGAAAGAAAATGTAATTTTTGGTGGAAATGTTCAGTGAAAGCTTTTAGTGGAAACTTTCAGAGGAAACTTTCAGTAAACTCTTTGATAAACGTTCTAGGGTAATCTTCAAAGAAGTCTTCAGCCCCCTCTTTTGAAACAGAAACATTTTTATTTTAACTTGTTTTCTTGGTAACTTTTAACTATTATAGGCCAAGTATTAGATCATAAATTCAAAAATTTCTACTTTTTTTTGTATAGTGTGTAATTATTCTCTTTTTTATATAAATGAGATGTGAATATTTTCTTTTTTGAAATATATTTCATTCCAAATATAGTTTTTTTAAAGAGTAATAATTAAGTGATTTATATTATGTATGTAATGTATGACTTGAGTAGTTTTGAAAATGTATAAATACTGACGCAATAGAGAGCATTGCAAATATTGTGAAGGAATGCATGATATATTAAGATAAAAATTTTACTACTTACTAAATACAAACTGTTTATTTATACATGATTATATTCACAATTGCTATTTGATTTTTTTTCTTGAAGAACGCAAAGAGAACTTTTGATATGTATAATTATTGCCGTAAAATAAACATACTTTCTATTATGAGAGTATCTTTTTTGATGTATAGTAATTATCAATTTCAATTCATATAATCTGTCATAAATAGAGATATTTTTATTATACTCATTAATGTAAGATATGAGAAGCTATTATTTAGTATTAATTAAGATGTAATTCAAGACCAAGTTTATTTCATTTTTATGTAAAAGTCTATAGGTAATAAAACAACTGTACGTCTTCTTTCTTTTCAGTTACTTTTTTTTCAAATCTATATATTTCTTTCTAGACTTTCTTTAATACATTAATTCATTTACTATTTAGATATGCACTTTTATTAACCTACTCAACTTTTTATTCTTCTCTTACTATATATTCAATAGGTATGTTAAGAAAACATAGAATTGTAACAAGCATTCAAGCAAGTTTATGATAATGAAAAAAAAAACTTTAAATATATTATGAATATCTAGAATATAAAAAAAATTATTTTGTACTATTTATTTTTATTCAAAGTACTTATTAATCAAAATATTATTATGTTTCATTATATAATCTATTATAGATTTTCCAAGATATCTTTACTTGTATATATATATATAAATTTAAGAAGTATAGTATAAACCAGAGAATCAAAATTATTTCCGCAATTTAATAAATTGAATTGTAGCACTTACACAAAGTGCTACTATTCAAATATAAACGTTTAAAAACACGTTAGTAGTCAACATCAAATAATTAAACACTTTTTGTTTCTGATAATGATAGCAAGCCTTTTCAAAAGCTATTTAAAGCATTTATCTTTCACTTATTCTATAAACATTTTCTAATAAAATAGTTTTTACTATAAAGAAACATCAATTCCAGCTTTTAATGCTTTAAGAAATGAATACTTTTTACAGCAAATCTATAAAAAAAAACTTTTAGTTGAGTAGGGATTGTTGCTATTAATATCTATATACCTTAAATGTCAATGAACTATAAAATGTAATCATATTTTTTTTTGCATACTAGTACATAAAAGCCTAGTATTGAAAAATACATTAGTTCCATCTTGCAATATAGCATTAAATCAACGTCGAAATATGATATTGGATATAGAAAAATTTTATAGCAAACGTATTTGATACTGTTTAATTGTATTGTTTAAAGACTTAATTTATTGCTCTAAAAAAATAAGAGCAACAGTATGTTTCACATGGTTCTCCTGATATATTGACTATATATGCTATATCTATATAAGAATCTATTTACAGTATCTATAAATGATGCACAGTACAAACAAGACATACATACATGTAATTCTTACGAGCTTTATATTATTCAATAAGAGAAAATAGTATAGCTCTTGCAAATTGAAAGTTGAACAAAATTTTCAAATTTTAAGAAAATTCTGGTTTTGAAAAAGACAACTTTAGGTCTTTTTCAGATGTCGATTGTCAAATATAGATGCTTATAAATGTCTCCACTTTTCTGGCGAGTTCAAAGCATTTAACAGCTATATCTATTAGAGCATTTAATAACACTATCGAATAATTGAAAAGTCACCAAAAATTCAAACGAAAATAAAAATGTCCCTGTTTCACTAAAGGGATTAAAACCTCTACTGAAAGTTTTCATTGAAACTTTCCATTGAAACTTTCCACTAAAAGTTTCCACTGAAAGTTTTCATTGAAAAGTTTTATTGAAGGTTTCTACTGAAAGTTTCCACTAAACGTTTTCACTGAAAGTTTTCACTGAAAGTTTCCACTGAAAGTTTCCACTGAAAGTTTCCACTGAAAGTTTCCACTGAAAGTTTCCACTGAAAGTTTCCACTGAAAGTTTCCACTGAAAGTTTCCACTAAAAGCTTCCACTGAACATTTCCACCAAAAATTACATTTTCTTTCCATAATGACATAAAATTACTATCATAACAAATACATAATCACATAATCTCTTGGTATACGCATATAATGATTTCACTCCAAGTAGCTTTAACAAATACTTGCTTTTCCACTTAAATTTACTATGTAAAAGTATATTGAAAAAATGTACTGCCTATTTTATTTTATTTACGAAAAAATATTATTAAAATATATTTTCTTAAATAAAATTTATAGTGATAGTAAAGAAGTGTAGAATGCAGAGAGAAACGTGTTAATAGTAATTCTACATCTAAAAAAAGCAGATTATAAATTTCAGCCAAAAATATAATATAATATTCTCTATTTTTATTTTTATTTTTTGAATATTGACTATTAAAATACACTAATAAAAGAATTTTTAATTTTTAAATTAACAAACTTTGGCAATTTCTTGGAACTTGACTTCTGGCTCTTTGAAAATAAATATTTTTTGTTAATAGTTTTTGTTTTTAAATATTTAGTGGAATACTTTTTTTGCTACGTATGGCAGCACTGTTCCGGCATATGTGACCCAGTGGTTGGTCTTAATCGGAGCAGCCGGGGGATTGCTGCCACTGATGCATTGCCCTGGGCTTCTTCGGCCAATTTCTTTGCGGTGGCTGCAAGTAATGCGGCTTCTGCAAGCTGGAGCTTCTGCATGCGGCAGTTTTTCTCTTGCGCAGTCTTCTGCTCTCCACCCAGCATGTACGGCTTGTTCCGTTATAACTTCGATCTTCTGCTGTGTCTTTGCTTCTTCGGCCATTTCTGCTGCACGTTCAAATGCAAGTGCAACATACTTGCTCCTTGAAGCAGATTCTGCCTCCGCAAAAGCTGAGCATCTTTCTTCATATAAAGCAGCCTCATAGACGACAGTTTCTGCTTTTGCAGCTGCTTCTTTTGAGCGAAAAATCTCTTTAATCATTAGTATTTCAATTAACGCAGCTTCTGCAATAATCATATCTTCTTCTACAAGAACAACATTAATTTCTTTTAGCTTGAATGTCAGATAGTCATTAGACACTTCTTTGGAAGATGCAGATGGGTTTCCAGTAGATTTCCCTAATGTATGAGATTCTATTTACAATATATTTATATTGACTAAAATGTAGGTATATGTATTTGAAAATAATACTTGTAATTACTTACAAATACTGAAAATATTTGACTGGTAACTAGTGAAGACATTGCTTACCATGTACTTCTTTCTAGGTGAGGCTTTCTGCTATATTTCTTTTTACCAAGTGTCATATCATTATAGTACACGTTCTGAGCAATCTTTTTATTCCACTTGGAAAGAAAGAAACCGTGTATATATAAGTTTGCTATTAATATCTTGTTGTTTATCTGTCTATTATTATATAAATAGACAAGACAAGAAAAAACCTACTAAATGCATTTACTTTAATTCAGAATGAAATTTACGTCTTGTAAGTCTAAGGTAGTGGCTGGAGTTAAAGCTGAAGTTTTCACTAAAACAATGTATTATAGAAGCAAGTGAAAGAAGGAAAATATATGTAAAGAAAAAAGCAGTAAGTTTTTCATTCTTTGAAATTATTTCCAGTAAGCAGTATGTGCCGTAAGAAACAAGAGTCGCTTGATAAAATTTATATGCATCAAGCATGTAAAAATATTAATCAAGTGTGCTCTTTTACATTTGATGAATACTCTGATTTTTTTTTTGCAATTTCTCTCTTTCCAAATGTCACTTTGATTGCATTGTCTTTATGATTACTATCTTTTCTGAAGTTTCAATTTCTTCCTCTTCTAATAAGATGTTTTTCATAGCTATCTTTTCTTTCTGAAATCCCACTATCTTATTTTACAGATTACTTTTTCTTATTTTCAATTTTATATCACTATTTTTCAAAATAAGCTGGTACAATTGACATCTTTATTCTAATACAATTCTTATCAAATCAATTATCTATATTTTCATGTAAATAGTCAGGAAATTTCTATCAAATAACGAACAGCTTTTCTATTCAATTTTTCAGCTTGCCAGGAAACTTTCATATTATTTTTTTGGAAAACAGTATTGTCTGTTGCAGCAATTACATATTTATGAATAAAAATAGTTTATTAAGTAATAAATATGCGCTTATTATGAACAGAAAACTATACAGCTACTTCAATATATATTAAATCCAAAAAGAAAGAAAATTTATTGATTTATTTGTTTAATATACTTTCAAATAGACTCGCATATTTGGAGTATATTACATACTATAGCACTGTCTTAATATTTAGTATATCTCATCTTTTTTTTTATATATTTAGTTTTATAAAAAAATTAGAGGTTTTCAATAAAAAAAAATCTTTCCACAATAGATTCCCTAAGCATCTTCTATTTGAATATTTGATTTTTTTTTACTCATCTTGGTTATGAGTTTGTTTTAAAGATTCAACTGCTTTATTCAAAAAAGAAGAAAGTGAATTGAATGTAGTAATTATTATTTTCTTGATCTGCAAATATGTAAGTAGTAACCAAAAAAAAATAGAGGATCATTAAGGTATATAAAATAATAATATTTAAATTCAATTTGTCTATTAATTAAATGCTTTTTGCAAAATGATGTTAAGCTTTTTCTGTAATTGACGCATTTCCAACTACAACGTATTTTATTGCTTTTTAATGTCTATGAGCTTGAGTGTGGGAAGCAAATGTATCATTTTAAAAAAATGATTATTTTTTTCACTCTTTAATTTTGTTCTTCTTTAAGGCGAAAAATAGTATATAGCAATAATTAAAAGAAATAATTCAAAGAAATTATGATTATTATAAAGCTGATAATGTTGAAAGTATTTAGCTTGCTTTTTGTTTTTATTAAACTATAGTTAAAAGAAAAAGATTTAAATAAAAATATCTTGAGAAAATAAGAATGTATTTGAAAGTATAAGTATTTTTCAAGTGCTTCATTTTTACTGAAAGTAAAAGTAAAAGTAAAAGTGCTAGTGCTGCAGATTCTCTAATAAAATCACAGAGTTTTAAGAAATTTTGTAATTTTTAAAGAAAATTAAAAGGGGGGAGTGAGGGAGTGGGGGGGGGGGGGGGGGGGGGGGGGGGGGAAGGGTAAGTTATGTGTTTATGAAGTCAGAGTTAAAAAAGTCTTGGGGGTTGGTTTTATAAAACGAATAGTGAAGGATTGATTAAATGTGGAAATTATTTCTAAGAGTCTAGAAAAGCATTGGATTTTTTAATAAACGAATAGTAACGGGGCGATTTTTGGGTATTGACCAATTCTGAAAATGTTAGGATATATTTAGATTCGTTAACAAAATGAATGGTGAAGGTATCTCCTTTTTGGACTCACAAAAGCATAGAATTTATATGTAAAAAAAAACTAGGCCGTCTAATTCAATTTATAAAAATATCTAAAAAATTCTCTGAAACACTTAGGCGTTTCTGAAACAAATAGCTACCCCGTCCAACGAACCGGTTTATAAATCACCAAAGTTTTCCTAGCCGTGGTGATATTTTTTGAAACACTTGATTGCCCCTACCCAATCATTTTATAAAAAAATATAAGGTTTCTCTAAAACGCCACTCTTGCATGGATCGCATGACTGATATTCATCTCACTCCCCCCTTTTAATTTTATTTTCTAAAAATTATGAAATCTTTTGAGATTCTGTGATTTTATGAGAATTTGCAACTGTAGCACTTTTATTTTCAATAAAAAAGCACTTGAAAAATACTTATACTTTCAAATACATTCTTATTTTCTCCAGATATTTTTATTAGACCCTTTTCCTCTAATTGTAATTTAACAAAAAAGCAAGTTAAATAATTTAAGCATTATCAGCTTTGTAGTGAGCATAATTTCTTTGAGTTCTTCTTCTTTTGATTATTACTAAATTCTATTATTCGATTTAAAGAATGGATGGTTAAAACAACTTTTTTTTTAAAAAAAAAATGTAAATGGAAATGTATATAGTAGGCCATAAAATGTCCAAACTTTTTTATTAAATATTTTCATAAATTTAATAGCTGGGGGTTCTTTTTTTTTTGAACTACATTTTCCAAAGTATATATAATTTATTAACATTGAATTTAAATAATACCACTGTAGATACTCTTAATTACATGACTTAAACTCTGGACTTTATCTTTCAATTACAAAAAAAAACATATGTATGTGTTCACTACAAAAACAAGGAGAATGATCTTCTCTTACTATTCCTCTCCAACTTTACTCTCACACCTTTTTTTCTCTATATTTTTACCAGCCACACCTCTCTAGGATTTATCTCCTCTAGATCAAGCTAAAAAAAACTGCTCTCACGCTTCTCATTTAGTGGCCTAGGCCTCACATTTGCTCTATGATCTTAATATCTTATTGTCCTCCCCAAGACCCGCATTTTATTTTCTTTGTTCTGTTTGTTAAATGACCTTTTCTTTCAACTATTCTTTTATATATTGTTCAATGATTTTAACTTTTTACTCTGAGTTCATCTTTTTGACAACTTATCTGCTGCTTCTTGCCTTACACACACACTTTCTGCGGTAGGTACATCTCAATTGACTGAAATACAGACTCCACAGGCATGCTCTAATTGTTTTTTTTTTGCTAATTAACCGGGAAAGTTAACAACCTCCCAAACTGTTACAAAGCGACCCGCATATCCAATACACATTTACACAGCATAGGACAGTCATTGTACAACAAGAATTTGAATAATAATAATAGATGCAAGCAATATTATTTAGTGTCCTATGAGCCACTATGTACAAACCGTACTTTTGTGTGTACTTTTGACGGGGTCAACAAGATGAAAGAGTGGCCCGATTTTTCGTAGACGAAAAGGGTCCCATGATTATCGAGTGACCTTTTCCACTTACCAAAAGAATGGACATGGGTTCTGAGTAGGCTCTCAATATTGAGAGTCTTCAATGCTCCTTTCAAGATGCATATATTAATTGTAATAACTTATTTGTGTGTCTAACAATATTTTATGTCTTTTTTTTTAAAAAAAAAATTCTTTCTTTAGAATTGCTCACAGAGAAGCCAGATTGTCGTACCAACCTCTACTCGAGAGTCAATGACTCGATTGATGAGCAGGTTTCTTTGACAGCTGATGGATAAAGAAGAAAGAGAATATTGATAGAATGACTTGTCTGGTATCCAGCTATATGATTTACTCACTCTCTCACACACTCACACACACACAAAATAAAGAAAATAAATAAAACTACAGTCCTACCTTTTTTTTTAAAGAAGTAACCTTTAAGGCTTTATTTATATATATAGAAGAGGAAAGTAATAAAACTTGTTTTTGATTTTGTTCAAATTCTAGTTCAAATTCAATAGGAGTTGGTCATAAACAGGGTTTTTTTTATTGATTACTCTTTTACATTTTATTGATTTTTAGAAATGTGGTTCTTTACAAGTTAATCTATCATTGGTCTTTGCTCCTGTGCAAAACTTCTTCTTCTTCATATACATATTTTACATGTATACGCATTAGAATTGCCCCCCACTTGTAACACGTGAGGGGCAACAAGGTTTTATACTGGAGTCTCATATATATATGTGTGTATATGACCTTGAAGTTGGGTGTGCCTTTCTTATTTGTTCTTTTTCTTTTTCAAATCCTAGTGATGCTGATATTGGCTGTCTCCTTGTTCAAATATACCATTCATCCCATCAACAGCCGGAGAATAATGAACACCTTATGATGACAACAGCAAAAAAAATAGCAGTGAACTTTAAATTAAATCTGTGTGTGATGATGTTGTCTATGTTGTTACTTACTGTTCATATTGACCACTTACATATATAATATCTATCTGTTTGTGAAATTTGGTGCTTGTCGCTCTATACAATACAAATTTCTTTAAATTTAGTCAAAAGATTACTAGTATTAATATTATTAGCAAACAAAAACTCGGTGAGAATAAAGAACAAGATACTGTGTAAATATGAACTAAACTACAGTAGCTAATTCTGTTTTTTTTTTGAAGGGGGGTTTTTTGGTTTATAGAAAAAAATTACCAAATGTTAGAGCGCATCATCTTATTATTTTATTTCTTTACTGTCAAAATAAGAATATCTTTTTGTCTTTTGAAAGTTACTGGCTCTTTACAGGCCAAAAGACCTTTCCAAAGCTGAATAAGCTGTGTTGAGAATGCCTTGCTTGAAATAAAGATATGAAAAGAAAGAAATAAAAAGGATTTTAGAATAAATGTTTGTGTGTGTGTGTATGATATATGAATTGACAACATTACAGTTTACTCAAATTACTTCTTTCTGTATCTGTGCTGTTAATCCCTGATAATGAACCATGGGCCAAATGATTTCAAATGATTTATATAGAATTAGTGTCTATTCTCCATATAGAAACACACACACACAAAAGGCTTTGAAGAATATGAGTTTTGATTATTGGTATACTTGATCTATCTATTGCAAATGGATAATGATATTAGTAGTAGGGCTAGAATATATGGTCAATTGTGCTTGTGGGGTAAGGTATTGGAAAATGAATGGATTTACCCACATTACAATAGTTACACACCAGAATATAAATTATTAATTTTTATTTTATTTATCTATATGGGTTATTGGTGTAACTGTAGAGTGGCTTTTCTTTATTTGACGGGATTTTTTTTAAAGGACAGTAAGGAAGTGTGTGTGTGTATGAATTTAAAGAGAACATCGGGTAGCCATTAAAGACTATAGAATAATAAAAACGCAAAGGCAGAATGGTAATTGTTTTGTTAAATAAATAAATTAATATATATATATAAATATAAGAAATGCTTATCAAATTATGGTCGATGATTGTGACTGCAAGCAAGATAATAAGAGGCTGTGTGTGGTGAATGGGTAAGGTCCATCAGCTTGTATCCGTTGTGTGATCTTCAATCGTCATTATTTCTTATTTTATTCAATAGAATGCCCTTGATTTTTTTTGTGGGGGAAATATATACAAGGGATAAAGGAGGATTTATTTTTATATAAAAAAAAACATATAATTCAATTTATTCTTCCTGCTATCGTAGAATTGAATAATATATATATATTTTATATATATTCACCGAGAAGAAATCAAAAGAGCCAATCAGCTGCTTTATTCACAGGGCATCAAAGCCTAAAAGAAATACCCTATGTTTTTTTTACTACTGTCCATTATACTATGTATTTAAGGTTTTTCTCCACAGCGGCGATTAGGACCATTTTATTTTATATTATTATTATTATTTTTTGGGGGGGGGAGAGTGGCGGGAAAAAATTGTGGTTTTTTTTTTCTTACTGGTATAAAAACCAACCGCTGCTTCTTTATCCTTTCTTTTTTGTTTAAAAAAAATCTGAATCTAGACAACTACAACTACAACAAATCGCAATAAAATGACTGGATCACTTGGAAAACTCAATGTATTGATGGTTGGTACAGGTGAATACACCACTGGCTTCGTCAACGGAAATGCCTCGGCATCTGACAAAAAAGTTGGTGTCATTGCATTGACCATGTTCGATTTGAGACGACGCGAGAAAGTATCTTCGATTGGAATGGTTGGTGTGAACGGAAAGAAGTTCCCTGCTGTCAGAGAGCACCTCAGCAAGAACATCGGAGAAGCCTACAAAATGGATACCCAAGTCACTACCTACCCTGAAGATGATCAAATTGATCCAGATTCATGTAAGTTATCGTCATTAATGGATTACACACGCACACACACAAAAATTATAAATTAATATCACAATCAATCAATCGACCAATCGACCAACCATTCACTCATATACAAAAATATTTGTAGACAAAAAGGCTATCGATGATTTGTCTCCTGGTGATGCCATCACAATCTTTACTCCCGACCCAACTCACTTTCCTATTGCTCTCTATGCTATCCAGCATGGTGTGCACGTCTTGGTCACTAAGCCGGCCGTAAAGTTGTTGGCTCAACATCAGGAACTCATGAAAGAAGCCAAGAAACACAACGTTATTGTCATGGTCGAGCACCACAAGCGCTTTGACGCTACTTATGCCGATGCTCGAGTCAAGGCCGAGAAACTTGGCGAATTCAACTACTTTTATAGTTACATGAGTCAACCCAAGTATCAGCTCGACACATTCCGTGCCTGGGCTGGCAAAGAGTCTGATATTAGGTAAAAAAAAAACAAACCCCGCCTTATCCAAGCTTGAAATTATTACTATTTTATTTTGTATTATATAAAAAAAATAAGAAAGATATTTATTTTTTTGGGTGGGATCTAGTTATTACCTCAACTCTCACCACATTGACTTTCACTGCTGGGCATTGAATGGAAGGGCTGTGCCTTACCGAGTCACGGCATCTGGATCGAAAGGTGTTGCAACAAGTGCACCATTTAACCTTGTAGATGGTACCGAGGTAAATAAACACATTAAATAAAATAAAATAAAATAAAATAAAATAATCTTATTTATTTTTTATTTTAATTTTTTAATTTTTTAGGACACAATCAGTTTGCTGGTCAACTGGCGTTCTATCAGACACCCAGGGTGTGAAGGTATAGCAGTCTACACCTCTTCCTGGACTGCACCAAAGGGAGAAGTTCATTCCCAGCAGCGATTCCACTACCTTGCTGCCAAGGGTGAGATCCAGATCGACCAGGCCCATCGTGGTTACACCTCCACTACTGATGAGGCAGGTCACAGTCACGTCAACCCATTCTTTATGAACTATGCACCCGATGAGGAGGGTCACTTTGGTGGCCAGACTTCTTATGGATACCTTTCGATCGAGAAATTTGTCGATTCATGTCGTCAGTTCAATGCCAACAAGGTCAGCTTGGCTACCCTGGAGGACCGCAGTCTGCCCACACTTGAGAACACTGTTCTGGTGACAGCAATCTTGGAAGCTGGCAGACGCAGTCTGGATGAAAAGAGACCTGTAGATATTACCCAAAAGAATGGAGAGTGGGTCTTGTTGTAAATAATAAAAATAATAATATCTATATATATATATATGTATATATATATCCATATCCATATCCATATTTCTTTTTTTGCAACAATTTTTGTATAAAAAAATAAAATTCAAATATAAATTATCATTATTTTATCGATTATCAAATACATGGATCCCTATATCTGTGTGCATAATTATATAGGCCTTATAAGTTTATTGGATTGTTTGTGGTGTAATGTGTACAAGTCTGTACAAGTCAAAATACTCGATAATAGAATTCCATAAACACCAAAGGACATGAAAGCTTTGACTGTAATTCACTGTGCTAATGGTCCAGGCTAAAAGAGGGTTAATGAACCGGGTTATTAGCGAATTTCAATCACTATATGTTTGTTTGATGAACTTGGCCCACATCACGGTTCATTACCATATGAGCACTCAACAGGACTTTACATTTATAGATTTATCTTTTATTCTTATTTTGAAAACAAATATTATTGGACGAAAGAAGAGCAAAAGAAAAAAATATTCTTTTAAAAATGTACGTAAAAGAAAACCCCTCCAAAGTGCAAGAGAATGTAGCATTTTAAGAAAAGCAAAAGCAAAAACTAGACAAAATATATAGTTGGTGTGGACAGACTAAAAAGGGCAAAAAAAAGGGCAAAAAAAATGTCAAAAGGCTTAACCAATCATATTAATTTATGATTGTCCGCACTTTTTTTTTTAAAAAAAAAGGGAGGGTTCAAAATTAGCTCAAATGCATATTATATAAAACAAAGTGCTCATAATACCATCTATTCCATCATGTTAACATCTTTTACTAGAAGAGTTTTGTAGGCTTTATCTCCTATGAGAAATGCCTTCCATCAAGAACATTAACTTCTTCTTAATCCAATTGACAATTAAAGAAGAACTAGCCAGTCATAGTCGTTTGAACTTTTGGTCTGTCTATACCAACTCTTCAACTTTTAAGCGATCCGTATTCTTTAAAAGCGCCAACACCTCTGTATTGATATTTCACCTTTTCTTATTATTAGACCTTGTCAGCTTTACTCGCATGCAATTTCTTTTGATCCTAATTAGGGACACATGGTGGGTTGGTTATGTGGTGCAAATGTCCAACTCAGCGACAAGAAAATGAATACGGGTAGAAAGACAATTTTATTAAAAAAACAAATAAAAAGAGCTATTTAACTACTTCGAGCCATTTCTACAGCTATGTCACTACTTTGAAGTTTACTGCGATGAGCGATACAAGAAACAACGGTGGATAAGGTCCACCATGTCAACAACCAATTTCTATTATACAAATCTAGCTAGTTATATACCATATAATAAATATAACCCACGAAAACAAAATAATGTTTAGATGATGAGCACATACTATGAAACCAATGAGTGTCCAGAGGTAAAAAAAACCTTAATTCTTGGAGGCTCCAAGTTGGTTTTGATGGTGTCAAATTTTGTCAAAAGCGTTACATGGCTTAGAACTTTAAGCTTCATTTTGTTTCTTATTTTTGTAAACATAGGGCTTTGTAAACCCGGCTATAAGAATGCGCTACTTCGAAAAGAATATTTTCCTATCATCTTCTTTCCTCTTTTCTCTCTTTCATTTACTTATTCATTTATTTTTGATAATTCCCTTCGAGAAAAGGATAGAGCCATTGCCTCCATCATGCTGGCATCAGAATTACCTGTCGAAATTATGCTCTGTATTGCAGAATCTCTTGAACTCCGGGATAAAGCTCGGTGCTGTCTCGTTTGCAAGGGCTGGCTTCCAGGTTTCCAAAAATCTCTTTTTGAAATAATCGTTCTTAACAAAATTGGTATCAACAAGCTACTCGATCCAACAAGTCCGGCAAGTAATCTCCTTCTAGAACATGGCCACAATACTCGAACACTTCGAATTCGCAAAGACAGTCTCTTACACAATCGAAAACTTTACGCTTTTCAGAAACACTTTCCGAACCTAGAATGTTTCAGATGGGAATTGTCTCGATTAATAGAACCTTTTGTGCCAAATGATATCTATGGGTGGAATATGTGGACAGAATCTCTCACGAAACTTGAGCTACACTTAAGTTATCATGTTAACAATGATCAGGACAAGATCTTTAATTTGGTTCGCTTGAATCTATGTCGACTCAAACAATTAAAATTATGTGTTAGCGGTTCAGACATGCACCCATTCACGTTCGATGATTTTGAACTCCTTAATGACCAACTACCCGAATTGATGTGCATGTCGATTACAGCTCGATTTGAGGAAATGAACTATGATGAATTATCGAAAGTTAAAGAAGTGAAACCGAGACCATGTTTCAAATCCCTACAAATTCATATCGGAAAATCTACGTATGAATGGATTTATTACATTGCTATCAAGTATCCAAATATCAGTACTGTTGGTCTACTTTATTTTGGCCAGGCCTTAAGTCTAAATCTGCTAGCTTATCAGACGCTGACAAGGCTTGCCGAACTTCCACGTCCCTTGCAACAGTTGGAGAGAATAGATATGACAGTCCATGTCCTCGCTGTACACATATATCAGATTTTTCTAAACCAACTTCATGGCCTCAATATTCCAATCAAGCATGTCTGGCTAGCTGTCGCTTCTAGGCATTGTCTCGATAACGCATCAAAAGACTATGCTCGGCTAACAGCAAAGCCATGGGCAAATACATTGAAAGAACTCTCAATTACATACTATTCAAGCTATTCAGGTTCTTTTCACTTTTTCAATCATGATGACTATTATCCTTGCCTAGTTGATCTTAATATCACCGTCTACGGAGCTGTCATCTTCATTAATGTCGTCTTGGCAAATCGCCCATCGTTAAAAACCATCAAAGTTACTTGCGGTTTAGTCAGCTATGGGCTAGGCTCATCTACCCCTTCAATTAAGCACGGATTGCGGGATTTATCACTTCTGAAAACGAAGATTTCTACAAAGACACTCACCTATATTTCTATTTACTGTGATAATCTGAAAAACATGACTCTAGATCGCGTAAAGATACTAGAATCACAAAATATTATAAATTCTCCTCATTGTATCGATATGTCATCGACCCACTTTAAAAAGCTTCGTATTAAACATATTGAATTTATTAAACAGACTAAAAGTAATATCAGCGTGTTTCTTTTTCCTTCGTCAGAGGTAAATGTGTATATGTTACATAAAGATAGTATTTACATATATAAAAGTCATATTGTGAAACTAAACTAAACTTATACTATTATTATTACTATTATTGAAAAGGAGAAGAGAGAGAAAATAAAATATCGTCGCCAAAATCCTACAGAAAACGTGTGGGCTTGCTTCCATGACTGGGAATCGTATGATAAAGGATTAATATTCGATGTACAAAAGAAAGGTGAAGAAGCAGAGAAGATTGAAGAATATTTCCGTGCTTTCTCCTATATGTCTCGCCGTTTAGATACCATGCATCAGTCTTTAGAACTCGTAGACCGACTGTCACTAGGAATCTGGGCAAGTTTTCTTCCTGATGGTTATGTTACTCTTAAATACGGTTCTGTAGAAGATCTTGTTATTGGCCCCTAAATCTATCCTTAACTAGTCCAATATTAAAACCAATTTATAAAAATAAAGAATATATATATATATATATATATATACATATCTTTTTTAAACTCTTGTCTGTTTAAATGTTTTCTTGAAAGAGTTATTTATGTTTGATGTATTGGTTATTGTGGTATACACACCACAATTGAGTGAAGAACAGACCCCACAACCAAACACTGGTTCCTTCTTGCTAATGAATCTGGCAAGTTAACAATCTCCGGAACTGTTACACACCAGGCACACGTACACTACGCACTCATACAGTGTAAACCAACCATTACACAACAGGGATTTGAATAGTAGCAGATATAAAAACAATATTATTTTGTCTCTTTAATAAATAACACTCTCACAGTATCTACTTTTCCCATTATTGAGATATTAACCCATAAACAATCCCGAATACCTCAGTTATAAAATATATGATTTTTTTAATGCTTTTTATTTATTTAATTTTGTTTTCTTTAAAAAAAAACTCAAGCTCAAAGTCAAAGTCAAACTCCAGTACCATGTTCTTTACTGGATATAGCATATACATTATAGAATAAAATCATAGAGTATCATTAAAATTGGCCAATATATATATATAAGTAGTTGAAATACATAAACTCTATTATCATTAGTATGTAAGTTACTCTGTTGATCGGTAAACACATGCACACACACATAAACATTTCTAACAACTGTAGTTACTTTAATTTAATATAATATAATAAAATGATAATAAATTATAAAAGAAATGAAGCTAACAAAAGTGAATAAAAAGAAGTGTAATATGTTTGGGAAAGTAAAAGTAAAGAAAAAGGTAAAAAATGCATTAATGTAAAGAAGTTACAAAAATGGTAATCTAAGGAAGAGCTTGGGAAAATGAAAAAAGGGGGGGGTGAAAGGTTTAAAAAGGAGTATGTTGCTTGGATAAATATTAAGGTGTAAATCCAGGAATCAAAAGAAAGGGAAAAAATGGTTGAAAAAATGAAAAGTAAAAAGTGATGACGTCAGCAAAACTGATAGTCCAAATTCTCTAAAATTTGATATAGTATAGCAACCCGACAGATAGCTCAGTTGTTAGGACGCCGGACTAGCAATCGACAAATTGGGGGCTCGAATCCTCCGTCGGGCATTTTTTCCAATTTTTCACAAAAACCCAGAAATTCCAGCCTAGCAGTGGTACAAATAGCAGGGTTTAGACCACCGGTCTCAAGCAAAGACAAGCCAGGCCTACAAGGTCCATTCCGATCTCCTTCCCTTTTTTCTGTAGTCAGCCACAGTCCGCAGTACCACAGTATTCTCAAGCATTGTTCGGAAGCTCTCAGTGTTATCTGGGAGGCTCACTTCCAAAATATAGTTAAAGAAGTTCCCATTGTCAACAACCAAGTTGGTTCAATTGGTACCCTAAACATTAGGAAACCCTCTTGAGCTCGCAGCTTGATGTCTTGACCAACTGACCTTTGTGTATATAGTACCTTCTAAACTACAAAAAAAGTGTTAGGAAAGGCGAGAGTACTTGTCAGAAATCCCCCTACACTGGTAGATATATCATCAAGTCCTTTAAGCTCAAGGGCGAGAAATTGTTGATTGCAGTTGCAGCAGCAGCAACTGCAGCAGCAACAGAAAAGAAATTAAACAGTAAACCAATAGTAGCTCGATATTGAGTAAAAAAGTGTGACGAAGATCCAAAGAGTATTTTTGAGTATAGCAAGAAGATCAAGAAGAACAGTACAAAGAAAATTGAGATTAGTTCAAATCCATATTAGATAAGAGCATGTTCTTCTCAATAAAATTTGCTGTGAAAGAAGAACTAGCCAGTCATAGTCGTTTGGACTTTTGGTCTGTCTATACCAACTCTTCAATTTTTAGGCAATCCGTATTCTTTAAAAGTGCTGACACCCTGCATTGATATTGCACCTTTTCTAATTTAGACCTTGTCAGCTTTACTCGCGTGCATTTTCTTTTGGTCCCAATTAGCCACTTTTATTATAGTGACAGACATTTTTGCAGTACATGTACTGATTCTGGACTAATTAATCGTATTCAATATAATTTGTACCTATATATATGTTTAATTTATGAACAGAAAAAGAAGAGGATACACTGTAATTATAAGAAAGGTTTGTAAACGGATGTTTTAAAGGCAAGGCAGGCAGAAAACATAGAAGAATTTGGTAACATATACCACACCCACCTTCTGTTATATAAATCTAGCTGGGTGTATACCAGATAATAAATATAACCCACTAAATCGAAATGATGATTAGATAGTGAGCGCATACTATGAAACTACTGTGTGTCCAGAGTTAACGAACCTTAATTGCTGGAGGCTCTAGTTTGTTTGCGATACAGTCAAGCTTTGTCAACAACATTACAAGGCTTAGAACTTTAAGCTTTATTTTGCCCCTTATTTTGTAAACGTAATACTTCGCAAACGCAGCTATAAAAGTTGGTTTTTTCAAAGAGAATATTTTCTATTATCTTCTTTTCTCTCTTTTATTTATATATATATTTGATAATTCCCTTTAAGAAAAAGCGTAAAGTCATTGCCTCCACCATGCTGGTGACAGAATTACCTCTCGAAATTACTATCTTAATTGCAAGCTATCTTAAACTCAAGGATAGATTTCAGTGCTGTCTCGTGTGCAAGAATTGGGCTTGGGCGTTTCAGAAATCTCTTTTTGAAAAGATCGTTCTTAATAACAAAGTTTACGCCGACAAGCTAATCAGCCCAGCAAGTCAAGCAATACACCGGCTTCGATTATATCGCCACACTACTCGAAAGCTCGTAATCGGTGGAAACGTTCTCCTGGACAATCAGACGCTTTACGTTCTTCAGAAGATCTTTCCAAACTTACATAGTTTCTTTTGGAATAATTCTCGACATAGGCTATCTTCTCAAAAAACTGATTTTTATGGGTGGAATCTGTGGTCAAAAACTCTTACAAGTCTTGAAGTAACCTTGGCAGCACATAATGAAGATATATATACCAAGATGCTTGATACAATTCGCTCAAAGTTATGTCGTCTCAAACGATTATATTTCTCCCATAAAAGTTCAAAGAAGTTCGAATTCACGTTTGATGATTTTGAACTCCTTAATGACCAACTACCCGAATTGACGCACATGACGCTTAAGGTTGAATTTAAGGAAATGAGCTTCAATGAATTATCGAAAGTTAAAGAAGTGAAACCGAGACCATGTCTTAAAACCCTACAAATTCATATCACAAAATCTACGTATGAATGGATGTATTACATTGCTGTCAAGTATCCAAACGTCAGTACTATTGGTCGACTTTATTTTGGTCGAACCTTAAGTCCAAATCTGCCAACTTATAAGACGCCAACACGGCTTGCCGAACTTCCACGTCCCTTGCAACAGTTGGAGAGAATACATATGGTAGTTTATAGCCACGCTGTATACATATATCATGTTTTTGTAAAACAACTTCGTGGCCTCAATATCCAAGTCAAGAATATCTGGATAGATGTCAATTGTAGCCTTAATTTCGACAACACATCAGGAATCTATGTGCAGCTTGCAGCACAGCCATGGGCAAATACATTGGAAGAAATCTCAATTTTATACAATACACACTACTCAGGCCATTTACGTTCTTTCTACTTTTTCCATTATGATGACTATTATCCTCGGCTAGTTCATCTTGATATCGAGGCCTTTGGAGCTATCATCATAATAAATCATGTCTTGGAAAATCGTCCATCGTTAAAGACCATTAAAGTTACTTGTAATTTACTCAGCTATGAGCCAGACTTATCTACCCCTTCAATTAAGCACGGATTGCGGCATTTAGCACTTCTGAGCACGGATGTTTATACCAACACACTCACCTATATTTCTACTTACTGTAACGATCTGAAAAACATGACTCTAGATCGCGTAAAGATACTAGAATCACAAAATATTATAAATTCTCCTCATTGTATCGATATGTCATCGACCCACTTTAAAAGGCTTCGTATTAAACATATTGAATTTATTAAACAGAATAAAGGTAATATCAGCGTGTTTCTTTTTCCTTCGTCAGAGGTAAGTGTGTATATGTTACATAAAGATAGTATTTACATATATAAAAGTCATATTGTGAAACTAAACTAAACTTATACTATTATTATTTATTTATTTATTTTTTTTAAAAAAAAGGAGATGAAAGAGAAAACAAGATATCGTCGCAAAATTCCTACAGAAAACGTGTGGGCTTGCTTCCAAGGCTTGGACTCGTATCGTAAAGGATTAAGTTTCGAAGTACAGAAGAAAGGTGAAGAAGCAGAGAAGATTGAAGAATATTTCCGTGCTTTCTCCTATATGCCTCGCCGTTCAGATACCCTGTATGAGCCTTTGGAACTCGTGCACCGACTTTTACTAGGAAGCTGGGCAAGTTTTCTTCCTGATGGTTATGTTATTTTTAAATACAGTTCTGTAGAAGATCTTGTTATTGGCCCCTAAATCTATCCTTAACTAGTCCAATATTAAAACCAATTTATAAAAATAAAGAATATATATATATATATATATACATATCTTTTTTAAACTCTTGTCTGTTTAAATGTTTTCTTGAAAGAGTTATTTATGTTTGATGTATTGGTTATAAAGTATATGATTTTTTTAATGCTTTTTATTTATTTAATTTTGTTTTCTTTAAAAAAAAAACTCAAGCTCAAAGTCAAAGTCAAACTCCAGTACCATGTTCTTTACTGGATATAGCATATACATTATAGAATAAAATCATAGAGTATCATTAAAATTGGCCAATATATATATATAAGTAGTTGAAATACATAAACTCTATTATCATTAGTATGTAAGTTACTCTGTTGATCGGTAAACACATGCACACGCACATAAACATTTCTAACAACTGTAGTTACTTTAATTTAATATAATATAATAAAATGATAATAAATTATAAAAGAAATGAAGCTAACAAAAGTGAATAAAAAGAAGTGTAATATGTTTGGGAAAGTAAAAGTAAAGAAAAAGGTAAAAAATGCATTAATGTAAAGAAGTTACAAAAATGGTAATCTAAGGAAGAGCTTGGGAAAATGAAAAAAGGGGGGGTGAAAGGTTTAAAAAGGAGTATGTTGCTTGGATAAATATTAAGGTGTAAATCCAGGAATCAAAAGAAAGGGAAAAAATGGTTGAGAAAATGAAAAGTAAAAAGTGATGACGTCAGCAAAACTGATAGTCCAAATTCTCTAAAATTTGATATAGTATAGCAACCCGACAGATAGCTCAGTTGTTAGGACGCCGGACTAGCAATCGACAAATTGGGGGCTCGAATCCTCCGTCGGGCATTTTTTCCAATTTTTCACAAAAACCCAGAAATTCCAGCCTAGCAGTGGTACAAATAGCAGGGTTTAGACCACCAGTCTCAAGCAAAGACAAGCCAGGCCTACAAGGTCCATTCCGATCTCCTTCCCTTTTTTCTGTAGTCAGCCACAGTCCGCAGTACTACAGTATTCTCAAGCATTGTTCGGAAGCTCTCAGTGTTATCTGGGAGGCTCACTTCCAAAATATAGTTAAAGAAGTTCCCATTGTCAACAACCAAGTTGGTTCAATTGGTATCCTAAACACTAGGAGACTCTCTTGAGCTCACAGCTTGATGTCTTGACCAACTGACCTTTGTGTATATAATACATTCAATAAACTACAAAAAAAAAGTGCAAGGAAAGACGAGGGTACTCATCAGAAAATCACCTACACTGATAAATATATCATCAAGTCCTTTAAGCTCAAGAGCGAGATATTGTTGATTACAGTTGCAGCAGCAGCAGAAAATAAATTGAACATTAAGCCAAGAGTAGCTCGACACTGGGTGAGGAAGTGTGATGAAGATCCAAAGAGTATTTTTGAGTATAGCAATAAGAGCTAGAAGAGCAGTACAAAAAAAAGTTGAGATTAGTTCAAATGCATATTAGATAAGAGCATGCTCTTCTCAATAAAATTGGCCGTGAAAGAAGAACTAGCCAGTCAGAGTCGTTTGAACTTTTGGTTGAACTTTTGGTCTGTCGACACCAAATAATAATAATAATAATAATAATAATAATAATAAAAAAGAAATGAAGTCAACTAAGATTGGAAGGTTTCCTTATATCGGAATAAAATAAAATAAAATAAAAAGCACATTTTCATTTAGAGTATAATGTGTAACTGTGTTTCTGAAAAAAAAAAAGATAAAAAGAATATTGTTCATTTGAGGGGAGGGAAGAATACAAAACTAAAATTGAGGTAACAAGATATAACATGTCAATGGAAGATAAAGAAACAAACGAACGAACGAATGAAGGAAGGATTGAAGGAATAAAGGAATGAACAAAAATGATATTCAAACATTTGAAGTTTAGATTATAAAGGATTCTATTACTTTGACTTTTGATTATTTATTTATTTGAATTATTCAGCAAACTGGGTGCAGCTGATAAAGACATATTGTTCTTATTGATTCCATCTCCACAAAAAAAAATATTTAAGTATCATATGTGAGTAACAGGATCGAGTCTAGTGAAGTCGATTGGAGTAGAGTAGAGTAAAGCATTTGAGATACAGACTGATATGAATGTAAAAATATGAAAAAAAAGAAGGTTTCAATATCCGTCAAAGTTAGAAAATACGGTAAAGACTACTATCTAATCTCAAAAACAAAAAATAAAATAAAATAAAATAAAAGCTTCAATTTTGATAGAATTTTTATTTTTCTTGTATATATATATATATGTATCTTTTATAGACACTTTACCTATAAAGCATTTCCCTTGCTATCTCTCATTATCATTATCATTATTACTTTAATATGTTATATTAAGGAATAGTGCCATTTTATATATATAAATGTTAACTATAAGATTAGTAGAGAAGAAAAAGTAAGAGGGAGGGTTTAGGTCTATTAAGTACCGAAATCCAAGGCTACACAACTGCAAGAGTGTCCGGTTAGCCTTAAGAGTACAAAAGAAAAAGATAATGCACTATTTGTTGTTGTTTTTTTTTCTACTTTAAATATTAACCTTCAGATATTTCAGTCTGTCATTTTATTTTTATTATTTATAAAAGAGTCCAAATACTTCTTTGGTCAAGGTCAAATGTCGTATACTAGAATAAACTCTTATATCCATGTTTTGTATCTACATCTTTAAGGGTCAATTACAGGTCCCTTTGAGCAAACCAACAGCACCAAAGAGATGTTCAAGAGTTGTACCAAAGGAGAATATTCTTTAAATAAATCGATCGGTTAATGACGATGATGATAAAGATCAATACTATAGTTGACTTGAATTATAAAGTTTTTATAATAATTCAATGAGATCATTAATGAAAATATGCCAAATTAATATTAATGCTTACTGTTATATCTATATATTTAAGCGTTTGAATAATCCTTTATTAAGAACCAGACAAAGATAGAAATATATATATATAATGACGGTCTGCTTTTATTACTATTATTTTATATTAAAGACCATGGGTATGATTGTAAGAATACCACAGTAAAATGATCATGATACAGTCAAAGTGATATGAATATTTTGCCTCCAAAATAATAGAAACAAAAATGGGTAGAATAGAATAGCTGTAATACGGGTTCAAACTGATTTCCAATTCGGTAGTTTCCAATTATCACGGTGTGGCTCACGCAAAAAAAAAATTGGTACTCAAATGAAAAAAAAAAAAAAAAAAAAAAAAAAAAACTGAATACCTTATTTCATACACACAAGCACAATGACACTCTAGTGAAAAGGAATAAGAAATGATAATCATTCTAGTATTAATGCACGTACATATGGTGGGTGGTAAAGATGGCTAGTTTTCGACTCATTTGTTGTAATTTAACTTGAAGAATAAGATGAGTGGGAGCTATTACTATTATTACTACTATTATTATAAAGTGTATCGGTAGCGGTATCCCAAACACTTTTTTTGTTTTTTTTTTTTTGTTTCGTTCTTCTTTTGTGTGACAATTTTCAGTAGAAAACTGTTAAAAGATATGAAATCCTTTTGGACTATATAAATTTTGATTATTACTATTGTTATTGAAATTTCAGGTCTGAATATGATTTTTTTTGGCACGATTTCTGTAGCTTAGAAAACTATTTTGATTATAGATAGCAAAGTTACATTGAATTGAAACCATAGAGCCATTAAAGATCTTTGTGGGTATTTTAATTTTAGTATAATTTCTTTAGATTGCATTATAAAAAAAAATTGTAGGTAGGCATGGTTACAAGATTTTTAGCTTTAGTAAGTTTAAAATACCCAAAAGAATAATATACGTGTAACCGAAAAGAAGAAGAACAACAACAAAATATTATTTATTTTTCTCATGTTGCAGTATATTTGTGTGTATAGAAATCACACATGTAATTATACTATTACTATTGTTGATATTTTATCGTATCATCTTAACAAACCCCTTCCTCCATTTCCCACTCTACTTCTTCTACTTCTTCTTCTTCCTCTACTTTTACTTCTTTCTTTCTTCATGTTTCTCTGGCAATTATAGATTTATATATTATATATATATATATTCATTATATATATATATATAAATACAACTACACACAAATACTACCTCACTCTTAAACTCCTGTACATATTTACATACACACACACACACATTTATATATACGCATATACAGAATAACCAGACGAAAAGACAACCTTCCAAGAACCTCTCTCATTTCGACTATTTCAGTTTATAGCAACAACAACAACAAAAGGTCATCTTTAAAGTAAATAATAATGGGAGCCGTGTGTTGCAATGAGCAATTGATCGACTTGGATGGAGAAGGTGACGATGGACATTTCGCTTTTTTCTGATTACAATGAATATATATATATATATATATTGTTATCTTATTGATTGATTGATAATTAAACAACAATTTCTTTCTTTCTTTTATGAATAAATACATCTTTTATTTATATATACACACAAAAAAATATTATATTATATTACATTATATCTGCTAGTCGATCTTTCGCACTTTGTTCTCTTGCGCTCTGTTGGCAAAGGAGCATTCGGAAAAGTTCGAGTAGTTCAGCACAGAGGCACCAAAGAATTATTTGCACTCAAGTACATCAACAAAGCAAAATGTATACAGATGAAAGCCGTGGACAATATTATATCCGAGCGACGCCTGCTAGAACAAATCACATCCAATGTCGTCGTCAACCTACGCTATGCCTTTCAGGACGACAAGAACATGTTTATGGTTCTGGATCTTATGCTTGGAGGAGATCTCCGATTCCATCTCGAGAGATTCGGTACCATGCCCGAAGAACGTGTTCGCTTTTACGCAGCCGAGATATCTCTTGGACTAAATTATCTTCACAGCAAAAACATTGTTCACAGGTAAAAGACAATAAAAATAAAAATAAGCATGTGTTTATAGTGTAATGTGTAGCATGGGTACATATAAAAAAAAAGAATATAGAGAGTGAATACTTTATGTGTATTGATTGTACTTTAGAGATATCAAACCAGATAACATCTTACTAGATGAACAAGGCCACGCTTATCTCACAGACTTCAATATCGCAGTTCAGTACACCGAAGGCAAACAATTGACCTCAATTGCAGGTTCAATGGCATACATGGCACCAGAAGTACTTCAAAAGAGAGGATATTATGCATCGGTTGATTGGTGGTCTCTTGGTGTGATGTGTTACGAACTTTTGTTTGGCAAGGTTAGTAAACACATCCAATTATTGTTTCTTTTTTCATTCTTACTTGTCTAATCCATTTGGCTTTATAATTTTATTATTATTATTATTATTATTACAGCGACCGTTTCGCGGGAAATCAAATGATATGCTCCACCGTGCAATTCTCTATGAACAATTGGTTATTTTAGAGCAGAAAGACGTATCTCCTGAGGCAGTTGATTTTGTAAAGGGACTCTTGACACGCGATATTGATTCAAGACTGGGTGTAAAAGAAAAAGGGTTTAATGCACTCTTGGCTCATCCCTGGTTTACTGGACTTGACTGGGAAGCCCTAAAATCCAAAACTGCAATCCCGCCTTTTATTCCTGACGTAAGCCCATGTTATTTTATTTTATTTTGTTTTATTTTATTTTATTTTATATATAATTATGTACTTTACTAAAAAAAAAAGGATTGCTTTACAACAAAAAAATAATTAGAGTAAACGTGCAAACTTTGATCCAACTCATGAATTGGAAGAGATCTTGATGGAAGATTATCCATTAAAAGTACGCAGACGCAATCCAAAACGTAGTGGGACCGGAAACACCGGGATGTCTATTAGAAGCCAGACAGAGAGTTTTATCGAAGAAGCGATCAGTCCAGAGGAACAAGTGATGGAAGAAAAGTTCCTGACCTACGATTATACGCGCCCGCACGAAAACGAACGACGAAAGGATGATCTGGAAAGAAAGCGGTGGGCCCAGAAGATGAGCAAGACCAATGGCGAAAAGCCCGGGATCCACACCAACACTCGCAAGGTGGCCGGTACTTACAAGGCCAGTGTGCTTGAGTATCTCAACCAGAAACCAGTGACACCTCTGACGGCCGGAGATATCCTCAAGCTCGAGGAGTTGGCCCGTATTACTCGAGCAGGTGGAGAAAAGGAAAAGAACAATGGCTGGAGACCGCCGTCGGGTATCCTTTCCCACAGTCCACCGGATGGCTCGAATCCGATCGATGCAGTCAGGGCCCGAGACAACTATATTCTTCAGTCAGGTGGCGTACCCCCGCCATCTCGTCCACCGCCCATCGTGTCAAACAAGACGATCCTAAGATTCCAAGACAACAATCATTCAGACGATACACTCGATAATGGTAATAACAATAGTAAGTCTGGAGTGACTGCCCAGTCTTTCACTCGTCAGTCTCTGAGACGACGATCGTCGGATGCCAGCTACGATATGCCTTCACCTGAAAACAGCTATCGTCCATTGATAGCACCACCCACACCTCCAATAGCCTCGAGTCTCTTTAGTCATGCCCACAAATCACAGATACCGAATTTCTTGACATCATCTTTTCAATCCACATCTGCACAAACCCCCAAGCCTGCGCACACAGCAACAAGAACATCATCAGTATCGGCATCCGCAGCGGCAGCGGCATCAGCATTAGCAGCAGCAGTAACAGCAAAAGCAACAGTATCAGCATCAGCATCAGGTGGTGGTGGAGGAGGAGGAGGAGGAGTGTCATCACTACCACCGCCACCGCCACCACCACGGCCATTGTCAGCAATGCAAGCTTCTGAAATACCCAGGTGGACAAGTGAGCTGTCACTACCGCCTGTACCTTTGGATTCGGACCAGCATGCGATGACAATGCCTTATCCAAGACGAGCGTCTGCAAACCAGATCATGTCTTCTCATAGCCAGAAACTGGGTCCTTCTCCTACTGTAAACTCACAGCCTATTCAGTTTGATTACCGAGAGGCATCTAATGCACATCAACAGAGAAACATGTGGTCCTAAATCTACACCAAACCAAACCAAAACTAATGACCAACGATGACGATAACAACCCATGCTGTAAAGTAGTAATATCATTTTTTTTTATTATCTTGCTTCTGCTTCTGCTTCTTCTTCTTCTGCTTCTTCTTCTTTACTTTTATATCTCTATTATTACTATTATTACTATTCTTCTTCTTTTGCTGATTTTGATCCCCATATATCTATTTAACTATCTATCTATCTATTTAACTAACCAATTGACTATTCATTTATTTATTTATTCATTCATATTCTTTAATATTGTTTTCCTTCTTTTTTTTTATATAAAAAAACATTCTTTTGTTATCTTTATCTTGTAATAATGTATTTGCTTAGCTTGTATGACATCTTTCTCTCTCTTCTGTCTATCTATTGCTTACTTCTTTATTTCTCCCCATTATTATTATTATTATTTTCTTTTTTCATTGGTTGGTTTGACTATTGACTATTGACTATTGACTACTGGCTACTGGCTACTGGCGATTGAAAAACAAAGGATCAATTATTCTTATTGTATTGGTTATATTTGTCTAAAATAATAATAATACTATTATTAAAGCAAGCTTATAAAAGAAAGAAATTTCACATTCTCTCCTTGTTAAATGATCTTATTATTATTATTATTGTTATTATAAGTATTCGTAATTCGTATAAGTATAAATGACATTCTTGACATAAATGAGTCCATCCCAATTGTGGATCAATTTAAATTTCAAGTCAAATCTCAAAGAAAACAAAATATCCCTCTTGTTCGATTCTCTTGTATACATGTCTTTTCTCTTTCTTTCTTTCTTTGATTTGATTTGATTTGATCCTTTCTATCTGTACTTCTTTAAGCCCAAAGACGAAGAAGAAGAAAAGAAAAAGATACACATATTAAAGATAATATTATTATTATTATGACATCAGATTTTCTTCTGCCAGATAACACATCTGACTCTCCTCAATATACTGAACACGCAGGCTCGTTTGTTCATAGCCATGGGACAAAGGTTTTTATCAAGAGTCGACTTGACGGTGTACTTGATGCCGTAGCACAGGCCCGATTCAATGAAAAACGATGGGTTTGGATTCCAGATCCTGAGATGGGATATGCACGGGCCCATGTTTTGAATGAATTATCAAAACAAGACACAGAAGTCGAATTAGAAAGTGGCCAGGTAAAAATTATACCGTGGTTGATATTCAACACCAATTGTTTTTCTTTTCTTGTTTCAATAACAGCATAAATGCCCCCTTTTTTCTTCTTTTCTTTATAGGTCAAGATTGTACAAACAAAAGATGTGTTTGCCATGAACCCTCCTCAATTCGACATGGCTGAAGATATGGCTGAACTCACTCAACTAAACGAACCTTGTGTTGTTCATAACTTGACGGTCAGATTCCGTGCCAATCAAATATATGCAAGTATCACTATCTCTCTTTATTTTTGTAGTTTCTTGAAATTGGTTTAATACTTTTTTATTAGACATATTCAGGACTCTTCTTGGTGGCTGTCAATCCATACCGTCAATTACCAATCTATTCTGATGAATGCATGCAATCATACAAGGGTCGTCGGCGTGGCGAATTATCACCACATATTTATGCTGTTGCCGATCAAGCTTACCATGACATGCTCCATGACAAAGAAAACCAATCTATTCTCATCACGTAAGCAATATATACACATACATATATGTTATTTAATCATACTACAATGTATATTATAGAGGTGAATCTGGTGCTGGTAAAACAGAAAATACAAAGGTCGCAATCCAATACTTGACAACCATGGCAAGCAAAAGAATCCTGAACAAGAACGGCACAGTTCTGGTCAACCAGTTGGAACAACAGATCCTTCAGGCCAATCCTATTCTGGAATCCTTTGGAAATGCACAGACCATTCGTAATAACAATTCATCTCGTTTTGTAAGCAAACAAAATAAAACAAAATTAATTAATTAAGAGTAATTAACAATAATGTTTAAATATATATTTTATAGGGAAAGTTTATCCGAATCGAATTCAACATGCAGGCTCATATCTGTGGTGCAAATATCGAGTGGTACCTTTTAGAAAAATCGCGTGTTCATAGTCAGTCTTCAAAAGAGCGCAATTATCACATATTTTATCAGTTACTCAATGCAGACAAGGCCATGAAAGGTATATAATTAATTAATTAATTAATTAATTGAGCTACATTGTACAGTACTGTATTGAACTAAACTTTTAATCTCTTTTCATAAACAAAATAAAGAGGAATTGCTCCTTAATGATGATCATGCCAGTCAATATGGGTTTCTCAAAGACTCTCAGCCTACCATTGAAGACGTAGATGATGCAAAAGAATATGAGAACCTGATCGTAAGTATTACATGGATACATTTATATAGCTAGATAATAATTAAATAAATTTAAAAGAGAGAAAGAGAGAGAGAAAAAGGATTTTATATATACATAGGCGCGTTTGTGTATTGAATTCCAAAACTAGTACTTGAAACCAATTACCAATTAAACAACTACCACAACCAACTTAATATTAATATTAATAAATGTTAAACATAGAATGCAATGCATATTATGGGACTCAAAAAAGACGAAATCCGTGACTTCCTACGTATGGTTGCTGCCGTCCTACACCTTGGAAACATTGCTCTGACGGCTGACTACAGTGGCGAGCGGGCCGACGTACGAGATTTTTCTGCCCTGGAACGTACATGCCACTTACTCGGAATTCCGGCCCAGGAATTCAAAAAGAGTCTATTGACACCTCGCATCAAAGCCGGTCGAGATTGGGTCAACCAAGCAAAATCACCTGCCCAGGTGATGGCCAGTGTTGATGCACTGGCAAAGACGATCTATGAACGAAACTTTGGAGGTCTGGTTGATCGGATCAACCGAGCGATCGATTGTCAAAAGACGACGAGCAAGATGGGATTTATAGGTGTTTTGGATATTGCTGGGTTTGAGATATTTGAAGTAAGAAGATAAAATATTATCAAGAGGGATTGTATTAACACACAAAGGAGAAAAGGTCAATAGCTTTGAACAGTTGTGTATCAATTATACGAACGAGAAACTACAACAGTTCTTTAACCACAACATGTTTGTACTCGAACAAGAAGAATACAAAAAAGAACGAATCGAGTGGTCTTTTATTGATTTCGGATTGGATCTTCAACCTACCATTGACCTTATTGAAAAAACAAATGTAAGTAATATATATGTATATAAGAAAAAAATATTTTCTCTATAACAGATGATTAAATATATATATATATATATAATAGCCTGTTGGTATTCTGTCTTGTCTTGAAGAAGAATGTGTTGCTCCAAGAGGAACAGACAAACGATTTCTTGAAAAGTTAAATTCAACCTGGGTCAGTGACGACCCAGAAGGCAAATACAAGAGCATCCGGTTCAAAGAAAGCTTTACGGTAAAACACTATGCTGGTCAGGTCGAATACTCTACCGCAGGCTGGATCAACAAGAACAAGGATCCACTCAACGAAGACATCACCCGGCTCTTGGCCCGATCGACCAACAGACACGTGGCGACCTTGTTTGAGGACTACCTCACCGAGACAGAACACCAGATACCCAACGAGTCTGGCCTGCCGACCTCTTCATCGACCTTTTCGCTCATGAAGCTGCGGAAAGGCGGTGGGTCCTTTAGGACGGTTGGCCAGCGGCACAAACAGCAGCTGCTTTCGTTGATGAACACCCTCTATCTGACTCACCCCCACTTTGTGCGCTGTATCTTGCCAAACGGCCGCAAGCACGCAGGCGAGATCCAGGCACTCCTGGTACTCGATCAACTGAGATGCAATGGTGTGCTCGAAGGAATTCGGATCTGTCGAAAGGGGTTTCCCAATCGACTGGTTTTTGCGGATTTCAGAAAGCGCTACGAGATCCTGTGTCCACGCCAGGCATCGACCAATTGTTTTGTGGATGGTCGTAGCGCATGCCAGACCTTATTGGATAGTTTGGCACTAGATTCAGAAAAGTATAGAATAGGCAACACAAAAGTGTTTTTCAAAGCTACAGTGGTAAGACAGCATTCAATAGATATCTATAATTGTGTGTGTGTGTGTATGTAGGTTTTCTTTAATTAAAATCTATTTAATTATTTAGCTTGCTGAACTCGAAGAAATAAGGGATCGTAAACTGTCAGAATACATCACAAGGTTTCAGGCAGGCTGCCGGCGCTACATTGCTCGTTATCATCTCACACGGGTATCTCGACAAGCAGAGGCTATCAAGATTATGCAACGTAACGCACGTATCTATGTGACCTTGCGCGAATGGTCTTGGTGGAAAATATATGCAAAACTCAAGCCTCTCAATGTGGCCTATCGTGTCGAAAGCCAGATAAAGGAAAAGGACCAAAGGATCGCCGACCTCGAGAACTCGATCGCAGTTCATCAACAGTCCTACGAAGACCTGCAAGACCAGCATAGTGCCCTGGTGGCAAATTACAAGACCTACAAAGAGCTTCTGGCAAATGAGCAGCGTCTGACAGCCGAGCTCGAGGAAACCAAAATTGGTCTTTCTGAAAAACTTAGGGACTCCAAAGGCAAGATTGACCAAATGCTGGCCGAGATCAAGCAAATAAAGGATCAGGTCGATGAAAGACAACAAAAGATTGATGAGCTTGAAACCAAGGCATCCAGCGAATCAGAGCTTCTGGCCGAGACTCAAAAGGTTGCCGAGGACCATTCACTTGAGCGAGATATATTGGCAGCCGAGTATGAGGCACTTGAAGAAAAACACAGGCTCTTGGAAAGCCAGCTGGAGGCTGTCGAAACCAAAAGCCAGAACGCTTTGATGGAGGTCAATCAGTCGTTTGATTCTCAGATACAAGAACGAGACACGAAAATCAAACAGCTAAAGAGCGATCTTGAGGCACGTCAGAGGAACGAGAGTTTATTACAGCAAACCATAGAAACCAATAAAAATCAATACCAGGAGCTTATTTCTCAAAAAGAGGTAAAGAAGATATATATCTATCTAGAGAGATTTCTTGATTAAAACATGCTTTTTTTATATTTTTTATTTTATTTTAGAGTGTGTGCACAGAACAACACCAGGAACTTGTAGAGACCCAGTTCAGGTTGTCTGCATCCAAGGAGAACTTGGCTCGTTGTGAAGCAGAATTAGAAGAACAATCCAAGAGTCGTCGTGTGGCCGAAAATAGACTGACAGAGGTAGAGAGCAAACTAAGTCAAAACATTCAATCCATGGCGGCCGAGGCAGAAAAACGCAAGGAAATCCAAGAGAAATATGATTCATTGCAGGTAGATCTGGCTCTGATCTTAAAAGCCATACGAGAAGAAGTAGCCTTTTCCAGAGAAAGAACCGAAAGGTAAATATATATATATCTATATATTTAATACAATGATGACTTTATTTATTGATCTATTTTTTTTCTTACTTCTTTAGACTTGAGGATATTGCTTCTCAATTTGGAGAAAGATAGAATGAATGAATGATTGTGATGATGGCCCTAATTTAAATATTTCTTGTACTTTTTTTTTTTATTCTTTAAATTAATTATTATTTTCTTTTGATACACCTTAATTACTATGCTTCCCTCACTCACTCTATATATCTTTCTTTCTCTTTCTCTTTCTTTGGTGATTGATTCAACAATTGAAACATTGGACCCTTTATTTTATTTTATTTATTTATTTATTTAAAAAAAAAAAGGCTTGACTTTTGAACGCTCAGCGCAAAAAAAAAGAAGAAGAAAAAGACAGGGTACAGTTACTGCTGGTTTAACAAAAGAAGAGTAGGAAAGATAGTAATAATAATAGTAAAGGGTAAAGAAAAGAAAGAAAAGAAAGAAAAAAGAATAAATGAAAGGATTGTTCACATTGAACCTTTTGCTTTGCTTTGCTTGGTTAATATTATTATTTTATATATTTTTAACATATACAAAAAAAAACATATTGAATAATCTATATATGTAAAATATATATATATATATAATATAATATATAAAAATATAAAATAAGAATAAAATATTAATACAAAAAAAATAGAGAGAGAGAGAAACTATATAAGGAAATGGAGCTGAGGTGATATGAGGTGATATGAGGTGATATGAGATGAGACAAGGTGAAACTGAACTGAACTGAACTGAGGTAAGGTAAGGTAAGGTAAGGTAAGATGAATAAGGTGAATGTCAAACAGTAAGAAAAGAAAAGAAAAATGGTCAAAACAATAAAGAGAAGGAAGGGACTTGGAGGGATTGTTCTTGTTGTTCTTGTTGTTGTTTTGGAGATTCTTTTATATATAAGGTTACTTTCTTGAAGCGGTGTAAAGAGGTGTGGATGCAAGTGACTCAGTCAAGGAGATTGGCCTTGACTGACGGCCAGGGGGGTGCTCGATAACATTTGCTACCGAACTAACCTCATGGTGAGACTTGACATGGGCGCTCTGGTTGTGGTTAGGAGGAGTTCGGCTTAGGATGGTACTAATGATATTGGGCTGAGAGGCTTGCAAGACGCTCTTTGGCGGAGTTGATTGAGAGGCAATTGTAGTTGTAGCTGTAGCTGTAGTTCTACGGCTTGCTTGTCTTGGTCGAAGTTCATGGCTTGCTGTTTCCTTTGAATTCACTATAAATGTATTTGTTAGTAAAGAAGTAGACAAGATGAAATTCAAAGAAAAAAAAAAAATTTTTTGGTATATATTTTAGGATGTACATTAACTACCATTACTAATACTAACACTATTATTTAATAAAAGAAAAATATTCCCCCTTTTTACATATATATATTATTTTATTGTAGTTTAAAGTAGACATGCTGTAACTTACCCTTTTTGTCCACACCCTCAGTGAGGCTGCTCTTCGAGTGACGTGGGACTGATTTGGGCTGACCCTCTTTTTTGGTGACAGGTGATGACTCTGTTGTGGTTGTGGTTGTAGTTGTGGTAGTTTCTTTTGATGATCCAGTATTGTTATTATTATTATTAATAATATTATTATTATTAGTGTTGTTGTTATGGTTACGCCGCTTTCCGAGGCTTTTTAATTCCTGAAATAAACTTGAACGAGAAGGAGAAGGTTGTGGTGGAGTTGGTGAGACCCGCCCTGAAAAGGTTCGTTCGACCATCTGTAATTTCCAAAGATTGCTGCTGTCGGAAGGAACCATTGTCGAGGACCGTTCGATGTGAGGTGGTTTTGGGCGTTCATAGGCTTCATGGCTGTTTCTCTGGACATATTTTGCCAGAAACACACTGTCGTCCTTTGGGGTTCGGCTCAAATGATGATGAAAATTATTGTTGTTGTTGTTGTTATTTGAGGACTGAGGAGGTACGTGAGTCGGGGTGGAGATACCAGAATCAACAAGCGTCTTTAGGATACCAGTCCGTGCTTTTGTGTTGGGAACGGAAAATTTTTCTGACTTTAATGCGGCATTTTCACCATTAATGACTATTTAAAAAAAATGTAAAATGTAAAATTTAATTTCTTTTTTTTTTGTTTTTTTTCTTTAAGCGTAAATCGATTCAATTCACATATCTTATTAGATCATTTACTCACGTTTCAATGTAATAAATCCGGCCAGTTCTTCCTTGTCAAAAAACAAGGGTGGACTTGGGAGCATTGGACCAAACTCAACCACATTATGCTTGCGAATGACTTGCACTCTAAATGAAATAAAAATAAAAATTCAAATCATGCGTTTGTGTTCACTATTCATATACTCTTTTCGTTTTGCTTTGTACACATATACACAGCATACAAATAGACATATTCTGTCTATCGTATTCTTTCTTTTTTGTTGTTGTTGTCTTACCTCCAACATGGTTTTCCAAACGCTATTTCAGGGTGGACAAGTACAAAAATATGCAAGAACTGGGACCGAATAGATGTGGGATCGAATGCCTGATTCCCTTCCACAAACACTACACAAGCAACGTCTGGTAATAACAGCAATAATCAATAAACCTTTCTTTTTTGTTTCTTATTATCATAATTGTAATTGTAATTGTAATTGTAATTGTAAATCATAATTATGATTTGTAATTGTTTAATTCTTACCATTTCCGATGTAACGCTTTCGGTGGACTTGTTGCTTATCATTTTTGCGTAAAGGCATGAGTGGTGCTACATGAAACATAATATCATGTTCTCTCCAGCGAGACACATAGGAGGTATCTCCAGATTCACCAGCTAAGATTATATATCTATAGGTAAATAAACCAACCAACAAACAAAACCATTTTTTTTCTTACTTACTTTTGATGTCGAGTCCTGCTGTATATCCATCATATTCTAGTAGTGCTACACGAGTACCAAGCAAATCCAGAAATTCTTCGAGTGGTTCAGATAAACCAGTATTTGAAAACCATTCTTCTTCTGTTGTCTGACCATCGCACACATTCAATACACCAAACTTGTACCTCTTTGGGATCTAAAATAAAATAAAAATTAAAGGAGATTATTTTTAAAAATATATATATCAAGTACAAAACAAGTGTAAATTTTTTTATATGTATGGCTTACTCTATTTGTATAATTGCGCTTACCCCTATTTCATCAAACCGCAAGAGATCATCTTCCAACTTCATCGAACTTGTTGATTCTGCAGAAAGTTCTTTAAAAAGGCGTAAATCCAAATCAGGACAAACCGACAATATTGCAGCACGCATCAGCCGGTTTGCCTGAATAGTTGAATTGAGGTTTCCAAATGAACCACTACTACTACTACTGCTGCTGCTGCTGCTGCTGCTGCTGCTGGTATTACTATTGGTATTAGGAGAAGATGAAAGGTTTCGAAGGGACCGGCTCTTTTTTTGCTCTGTATTGATACTATCCAGAGTATGTCCAGCACCAATGGATTCTAGGTGAGTTTGGGTATCCTTTGCCAATTTCTCATGTACAATGTGTTGAGATGTTGTGAATGTCTTTTAGATTATATATATATAAAAAAGATAATAGTAATTATGTGTTTGTGATATCAATCTTATTTTTTTTTATTTTATTTTTATTTTTTTACCTTTCCACCACGTAAGATAATGCGGAATTGGGCTCCTAGAATTGAGGCTGACTTGTTTCCTAGTCCAGCAAATTCCTTTGCCATTTCTCGTACGATAGAAATTATACCATATGTTTCATCTGGTACATTACTACTATTATTGAGTGATTTTTTTCTTTGCTGCTGTTGTTGTTGTGGCTGTTGTTGCTGTAATAGACTCAATGATTGATCTCCAGAAATTGAGGACATTGGTCCAATCAAGGTTATATAAGCCTTGCCAACAAAATGTTGTCGAAACCAGGTTGCCTTTGGATCAATCTGGTCTGGCCAGAGAGTTGTATAGTCGTGTGCTGTGAGTGGGTTGGCAATGATGTGAGGTGGCTCGAGAGTAAAAGACAAGAGGGTATCGCCGCGTATTGTGACAAATGAAGTTGGTTGATAAGGTGTTTGGCATATGTCCTGAATAGCCATAATCTACAGACACAGACAGGTAAAATAGATATTGGTTTTTGATCAATTGATTATCGTAATATTTTTTTTAGATATATATATATATATATATGTGTGTACAAAAAGGTTAAAGCAATAAAGGTAAAAAAAGAAAAAGAAAAAGAAAAGTATCTTTTATATATATATATTTTTTACCATTTCGCGCATTGTTTCCGAATCTAACTTTTCTGTGGTCGTGGTCTTCAAGGTATCAAACCTAGACTGGATCTTTTGGAGTTCTTGTTTGGGGACTGGGTTGGTTTGATCCATTGCATCAAGCAGGATCCGAACGCTATGGAGTAATGTTGTCATTTCCTGTTGTGAGCGTGCCAGTGGCTGGGTGGTTGGGGAAAGTGCTTCGACCAGTTGGTGGCAGTGTTCGGTAATCCATTCGCGGCACTCTTCTATTGTGGGAGGATGGTTTGTGGAATAGATATTGCCAAGGGGTGGTGGTGAAGGGGTTATTGAGAGATACGATAGAGAGGAGCTAGTGAGCGAGAATGGCAAGAGACCATTAGTACTAGGATTTTTGGTTGTACAACCACTGCCATTAATAGTATTGTTGTTAGTGGCAGAGCAGGACATGCTGCTTGTTGTTGGATTGATAAGAGAGTGTGAGAAATCGTCTGTATATGATGAAAAGATATCGTCGTGGTCGGTATAGCAACCAGAGTGGGAATGCGCAAGTGATGAGAGGGTGTATTGAGGGGTATCGGTAGTGAGGCTGCTGTGGTTACTGTGGTTACTGTGGTTACTGTGGTTACTGGTGGTTGTGACAGTAGATTTTGACATTGGGCTGGAGAGGTAGTATAGGTGTGGATCCTGTTATATTTTATTTTTATAGTATTATTATGTGTATACAGTAAAATGGCTTGTTTATAATTGTAATTGTAATTGTAAATAAGGGAGCAATGTAAATGACATATGTCAAGTAAAGAAGGAGGCGAAAAGAAGAAGAAGAAGAAGAAGAAGAAGAAGAAAAGGCTGTTTATGTCTTTATCAATATATGTTTTAAACAAAATGTATATATATATATATATATATATATATATAAAATGAAATAAAAGGGGAAGAAGAGGAGGAGGAGGGGGGATAAAGAGATATATATATATATATATATATATATATAAAAAGGGGGGAGTGAAATAAAAGAAGAAGAAAAGATGGATTGAAAGTGTTGTGGATTATATATATATGTATATATAAAATAATAATAATTATCTATGATTGTGATTTTGTTAAAAAAAAAAAAAAAACTACCTCTGGCTTACCTTGTATTCGGTCAGTGATGGATCTGTACCCAAGACCATCCCATTTCGTTTTGAGGACATCTCCAGACTGTGCCTTACTGGTGAATTTGGCCTAGATTGGAAATTTGGCACGATGGTGCTGATTGATGGGCAGGACAGCGAGCGGTCTTCAAGACTGCTGATGGTTGAGGACGATCTGGACTCGTTTAGAGACGGAGGGGGCAGTGCGCTACTGACAGTTCTCTGTCTCCAGAACATGTGTCCCAGACTACGTTTTCGTGATTTGCTGGCGTCTGTACTCATGCTCATATTTGCGGTCGATGGACGTCTTTCGAGAAACTGAGCACTTGCAGAAGAGCAGAGAGAAAAAAAGGCGTTTGGTGATTTGAGGTGTGGTGCTTTTGGAATTCGAGTCGGTCGGCAGGGTTCTTTCTTCTTTGGTGGTTGGGATACTACGGCCGTCGGTGTTGACGAAAATGATGTTTGAGTTGATGATATCGTTGACTGAGATAATGGTGTGGTGATCATGACTAGAATTGATATATATTTTTGTGCATGACTTTTTTTTTATTTTTGCTTTCTTTTCCCTAAGCAGAAAAAAAATTAAGAAGCAAACGATAAAGAAGATGAAGAAGGAGAAGATAGAAGAAGAAGAAGAAGATAAGAGGAGAAAGAGGAGGAGTAGAGTAGAGAAGAGAGAAAAAGAAAAAAAGAGAAAAAAAAAGGTACAGGTCATTATTATTTTATTATTATTTTTATTAATTATGCCTTCTCGGTCTATTTGTCTTTTTTTTTTCTTTTTTTTTTATATAAAAATAAATTTTATATTTTATATTTTATTTTGGCGGGAGAATCATTGGCAATCGTACATGTGCAGCCTCAAGTGAAAGAAGTAGTACAGAAACACAAAAAATACAAATAAATATAGATAAATGTTTGTGTGCTTATTATTCATTTATCAACAGACTAAATACCAATAGTACTTCTTTACTATTGGTATATACTCTAGTTCATTCAAAGAACAACCTTTCTTTTCAACAATTGGATTTATCAGAATGCCTTGTATGATAAAATCAGATAAAGACATTGCTTAAGAATTAGCTACATAGATAAATAAGTATGTGCAAAACCTTACATCTTCACACACAAATATAAATATAAATATATAAATATTCATACTTTAGACAATCCAGACTAGTGTACCCTGCCCCCTTTATTCGAGTTACCTTGTCTTCTGAACTCAGCATGGCTCGCCCTTTCTATTTCTCCGCAATAAAGAAGCTTCAATCAATTAAATAGCCAAAAAGAACCAAATAACAATAAATAACAATAAAGTATCCCAAAATTGAACAATCTATATCTTCCTATCTACCCTTTATACTCTGAATTGAAACATTTGAAACAAGATTATATATATATATATTTGTTTTTGTTTTTCTAGGTGAATAATACTAGTAAAAATCATCCCAAAACAACAAAAAGAATCGTTGAATTATTTACACACTAAAATAAAATCCAATTGAACCCTATATACAAAAGTTATATATTTCTATTTTATATTATTCCTTCAACCGAGGTGATGGATATATTAATCCAAATCCCGAAAGAAAGAACCCAAACAGAAATCAAGAAGGAAAACAAAAAAAAGAGGCAAGATAAACTAGAAATTAAATGTGTACAACACATTTGATATTCAGTCAAGCTAATATTTTCTTTTGTATCCAACTTATTTTCTTCTATACTATTACAAATATTGGTCCTAGACCTAATCAATATAAGTCTTGTTAAAGAGAAAGAGAGAGAGAGAGGTCTCGATCAATTCAATTACATATGTGTGTGTAGCTATCATTATCGTTATTATCATTATTTATTTTTATTCTTTTTTGAATTCAAACATAATTTGTCACCATGGAAACATTTAAAATAAAAAAATAAAAATTGAAATTCATTTTTTTTTATCACCATGACAATTTTTTTTAAAAAGAAAAAAAAAATCACGGGTAGCAAAAAAGGAAACTGTGCATTGACGTCTAAATCAACCAATCAAAGGCACATCTTTGATCTCCCTAATTTTCATACATACACATCTACCTACATAAATACATACATGTATACATACATATATACATATATACATATATCTATACAGCATAAAATAATATACATTACATATTACAGATCTCTCCGCTTTGATTTTAATTATGCAAAAAAAAAAAACAAAAAAAAATAGAGAGAGTATATTAGGGCTGTTGTTAATGTATATCCCTTTCTTTTGTTTATTGCTTTTTTGTTATTATTTCAATTTCATAAAAGCTTACATCCCTCCTTCTCTTTTTCGGAACCATAAGACCCTAAACTTTACCTATAATGATGCCAGCAAACCGTATTACTCCTTCTGAATATTATGATCAGGTTAGGATTTTATCCAAAAAAGAATTCTTTCTTTGTTTCTATTGCCTTGTAATAATTTTTGTTTTTTGTTTTTTTTTGCTATTAGGAAAATGGTGGTAAGGTTCCTATCTTTCGCCCAACCATGGAACAATTCAAGGACTTTCGCAAGTTTATCCTTGATATTGAAAGGTATGGTCGAGAGGCAGGCATGGTTAAAGTAATCCCACCCAAAGAATGGTAAGATTTTTTTTTCTTTTTATTTTACATTTATCTTTTAAATACATATAGTATTCTTATTTAAAATAAATTATTTATTTATTTGTTTGTTTGTTTGTTGATCTACAGGAAGGACGAATTTGATGCCTCAAACCAGTCTCTTGATCATCTTAAGGTCGAGCAACCTCCAGTAAGTCCATTGGCTTATCACAATAGATATACACACATACAAAATTTAAAGAGTCATTGCTCATTCACTTGTTTTTTTTTCTTTCTTGGTGGGTTATAGATCCAATCTTTCATAGGAACAAATGAAATCTGCAAACAGGAGCTTCTTTCGAATGAAAAGGACTACACTCTTGGTGAATGGCTTAGTCTTTGTCAAGAGAAAGAACATCGCCCGCCTAATATTCTCCCGAATGAAGATCGAGAGAAAAATGTAAGACCAAATTCCGAGCAAATAATAGGTCTTATTCATGCAAAAAATTAAAAAAAAAAAATTAAAAAAAAAAATGTCAAACATATTACTCTTACTGCTCTTCCATCAAACAATTTTACTCATACACTCGTCATTATGAATCAATCTCTTTATTTTGCATATTAAATCTATAAGCCCAGCAACCAATTCCCAAGTACATTTGGATCCAATATGTATGTCATGAAATAAAAATAACGTCAGAACAAAACTTTTTTGTTTTGTTTTTAATGCGATTGACTAACTCTTGTATTATTAATCCACATTTATATATATATATATATATTATAATAATAATAATTTTAATAGCGTGCCCAAAGGTCATTACAACACTGAATACTACAGGGAAATGGAGATAAACTATTGGCATCGTTTGAAAGACACGACTCCATACTGTGGAAAGAGTCCTAGCAAATGTAAGCAACAACAAATATATTTATTTTATTTTATTTTATTTTATTTTATTTTATTTTTTCTAATATATTATATTCTATAGCTCTATTCAATGCACATGCGAAAGGTTGGAATCTCAATGACCTTGATGGTATCCTGCGTGATAAAAAGGTGTCAATCCCACCGCTCACCGAACCCCATCTCGCATTTGGTATGTGGAAGTCAACTTTTGCCTGGCATCTTGAAGTAAGTACAACACAAACATACATATATATATATATATTACTTACTAATAAAAAAATAAATCTATAAAATAGCATTTGAATTTGTACTCTATCAATTACCTTCATATTGGAGCCTCCAAGCAGTGGTATGCCATTCCTCCTGGCAGATTTATGAGCTTCGAGATTATTATGGGCAGTAAGTTTTAGTATTATTATTATTATGTTTAAATGTTTTATATATTTTACTAATAATGTACTTTAGAAACATTTCCTGAAATGAAAGATAAATGCAAGTCATTTTTACGCCACAGAGCCGCTGTCATGTCACCTCGGCGCTTGGCAGACCACAGTATCCCGGTCAATAAGTGCGTTCAACACGAAGGCGAGTTCTTGATCACCTTTCCGTATTCCTATCATTATGGCTACAACCTCGACTTCAATTGCTCCGAGAGTGTTAATTTTGCAATCAACCCATGGATCAATGTCGGCTGTCTACCAATGCTCTGCGGGTGTACCAAGGAAAAATATAGAGTGCACTATGACACTATCAAGAGTTTCGCCATTCGTTATCCGGTCCCACCAGAGATGCGTAGTATGTGTAAGCCCGGAACCGATGAACTGGATCCTGATTCACGCGATTACAGACGTTATGCGAGATACTCTCTGCATGCCGGCATAGCGTCTCATCTTTGCAGTGCTAGTTATCAATATTGCGTCTGTCCGGAGCACATGCGTTTTGCATTAGAAGGATTAAGGACTTTAACTAGGTCTCGTCCCGACAATCCCTTGATCGTTCCCCGCAACTCTGGATCCAATTCTCCCCATTGCTCACACTGTAGCTCACACTGTAGCTCTCGCCGTAGCTCTCACCGTAGCTCACGCCGTAGCTCACGCCGTAGCTCACACGGTATATGTAATCGCTGCCCTCGTCCCAGCTCTGGCCAAACCTCTGGCCAAACCTCTCATCCGGCACTTCAACGTCCCTTTGATCAACCTCTTCCCCGCGTTTATGATCAAAGTTCCCTTCGAGCCTATCCTATGATCTTTTATCAAAGTTCAGACCAAGTGTTCTCCCAAATTCCTCGTCAACCCTATCGCCAATATATTCCTCAAACGTATGCTCAAGCCCTAGAGCAAATCGATGGCCAAGCCTATAATCAACCTTTCCACCAAGTCCCTAATGGAATACCTCGGGGAGTCTACAATGAAAGATATCGACAATTCGCACCCCCAAGTCCTGGTCGAAGATCTGTTTAAAAAAAAACTTTTTTGTTTTTTGTTTTCCTGGACCTCTTGATAGCAACATCAACAACAGAACCTTAAATATATATATATATATATTCTTTACTTACTTACTTACTTACTTGCTTGCTTAGTAAAATTAACTAATACTAATATTAATACTAATACTAATAATAATAATAATAATAATAATAATAATAATAATAACACTAATAATATTGATAATATTGATAATAATAATATGTATAAAGTAGTCCAATTCTTATTTTCTCTATCTTTGTTTTTTGTTTTTTTTTGTAATAAAATTAATAAATTAAAAATTTCACAAATATACATTTTGTGTTTAATAACACAGTATACTACACGAGATTTTAAGCCAAAAAATCCAATAATTAAATAAATGATAATAAAAGAAAAGGCTCGGAAGTCGGATTGACTTTGTCTGGTTACGCCAAATAATATAATATAATATAATATAAGATAATATAATAAAGAGGTACCCCAAAAATAATAATGGTAATAATAATCGTATCTATTTTAGATAGGGTTGCTATTTAAATTAAAAATAAAATAAAATAGTATTATCATTTTGCCACACAAAATAAGATTAAATAAGAATGCAAGAAAAGAAGCATAAAAGAGCCCTGGTGTAGAAAAAGATAATCAGGATCTATTGAATTTTTAGTTATTTAGTTATCTAAATAAGACTAGCAAAATAAACAAATAAGTAACCAAGCAACCAAGCAAGACAAAACAAATAAGCAAGACAAAAAAAAACAAAAAACAAAATTAATATCAAGGCAGATTTCAAAAATGATATCTTAATGTGGGTTTTATTACAGGTACTGCGCATAATTACATATCCATAAAGAATTTCAGTAACCTGTTTTATCAAAAATAATTACAACCAAATAAATAAAATAAAATAAAATAACCTCATGCATTTATGTTTGTTTATTTGTTTATTTCTTAATTAATTAATTAAATTTGACAGAATTAAAATTATGTGATTTTTGTTTTTTGTTGTTTCAATTAAGAATTTATTGGAATTATACTACCACAAATAGAAATCACAATGTGTAAAGAATGAATATATATAATTTGATTTAGTTTGGATTACTTGCAATCTTTTTCTGTCTGGCCTCAATGTCCTTTAGAGTCCACAAAGAAACTCCACTCTGTGTAGTCTCGAACGGTTGAGCCATGGTTCTCAAGAACTTCTTGGCAATAACAAGTGCCATATCTGTTGATAGATTGGTAGACGCATCTGTTACATACTGGTTAATCCATTTGGGCAGCTTTGCTCTCTTGTCTGCTCGTGCAAATCGCTAATGAAATTTACAGAATATTAACATAACTATCGTTTGATTCTTTCTTTACAGTACATACCTTGTCTGCAAACACCATTAGACCATAATCTGTCTTTCCTCTCAAAACTCTTCCGACGCACTGTGCTGCATGTCTCATAGCATCAAATGTCAGGAAATCGTTTTCTCTAATGTGATGGTTATCTCTCAGATATTCTAAGCGAGCCTACCAAAAAAAAAAGGAAATGTTCAATACACATAATCTATTGTTTTATCTTTCAAAACCAACCTTTAAAATACGAGACTCTGTGTATTGGTATGGGATACCAAACATAAGCACAGCTCGTCCATAATGGTGATCGAAATCAATACCCTCTGATACTTTTCCTCGTGCAACAGACAAGAGAATCGCACCTCGTCCATTATCACAGGCCTAATAATGATAATAAGCATTAAGCATTAAACCATTAAACCATACAACATCATCTATATCTCACGAGTATATATATTCAATTATTTTTCCCCCTTCTTACTTTTCTATAATTGGCCAATGCCAGACTAGTTTCAGCAGAGTCGGGTGTTTCTACAAAGATGAGCTTATGTTTCCACGCTTCATTAAGGATACCCTACCAAATATATATATATAGAATTAGATTTAGAAGAGAAAAAAAAGCTTATGATCCTAAAATATTGAACCTTACCATATCGTTCCACATGGATACAATCTGCTCCATGTAAAGATAACTAGGAAAAAAGCAAACAATTCCATCTGGTACGATCTTTGAAAATTCCACCATAATTTGACCAAAGTTTCGAACCACAGCAGGATCATTGCGCACCTCAAATTTGGAGCTTACGGCCACTTGATCAGAACCACGGGTAATAACCTGTTTTTTTTTGTTTGTTTTTTTTTAAAAAAAAAATCAAATATTAATATTATTAATATTTTTATTTTTATTTTTATTGCTATTGCTATAACAGTAATAATATTCTTGGCATGATTTACCATCGGAAGGAAACAATTTCGGCTCAGTGTCATGGTATAACTTTCTTGGACAACTGCTTCAAAATTGAGCATCTTGGGGTACATGTCCAAGGGGGACAAGGTTCCGGAAGTAATAACCACAGTACTGAACCGGTCAAATACGGGTTTAATTGCTATAGATGCGTCCAAACATCTACATTCAATCAAAATAAATAAATAAAGAAAGAAAGAAAATAACATTCTCCTTCTTACGTGAAATGCAAGACAGGATTTGGAACCGTGGCTGTTTCGGTTTCAAATGGCTCTAAAATTAATAGGAAGCCTATACACACATAATACCTTTAGTGAGCTACTTGTTTAAAAGTGAAGTTGATATACCTTTATCATAGGTTGCTACTAGGGTGGCAAATGCTGCAATCTTCTGCAGACTGGAGAAATGATCAAGATCTGTCAATTCAAGAGTTCTAACCAGACTTGTGAGTCGTTCGGCACAGAATTGTAGTGGCTTGCGTTCAATGTAAGTAACGTCTTTCAAATGTTGTAAGAATGAAACAGGTGTTTCAGCGATTACATGCATTACACGTAAACGAGTCTAGAAAGAAGCAGAGGAAATGTTATAGTTATTAATTACAATAGTTAATTATCAATTATTATTATTATCTTTAGGGCTATGTCTCACTTTAAGGTATTCAATGAAACGCCGTAAAAAGGCCACAAAGTGTTCTGCCCTTCTAATGTTACCCGGAATCGCTTCTTTTAACAGATCGTCTGGTAATATAGGGTTTGCCATGAACGTATCTTCATCCCGTGCGGCACTTGCATTGATTAACCCTGATTTCAAATTAAATTAAATAAAATAAATAAATGAATGTATGCTCAAAACAAAACAAAACAAACCTTCTACTAGTTTTGAATACTCATTCTTCAATTTTTGAGCATCTGTTCTTTTTATCCTATAATGCGAGTATTAAAATATCAGTCATCATAACCTTTTTGTTCTTGTTCATCTCTCCCTTTTTTTTGAAGATATGTTATTTTCTTACTCATCAATCCTATCCGACAAAATGCCAATACTTCTTGCTCCTGCATCTAGCATGGGTCTTGTGAGGTCAAGACTGAGGGATTCAATGCACACATTGTCTAAATAAAATCAAAAAAGAAGAAGAAGAAGGGTAGGAAAAGTGTGAGACTTTGTTAAGCTATCTATCTGTTTACTAAAAATATATTATTTTTGGCTTACCAATGTTGTGTGCTTCATCAAATACAACCACACAATCCTTGGATAGTTCTCTTGATACCAATTCAGCTACCTTTGGATCTAGCATGTAATGGTAGGAATATATCACGACATTGGCAAATGGTATCTTTTTTGTTTTTTGGTAGTTTTTTTAGGTGGTTTTATTATTGTTATTATTATGATACATAATACATATTTCACATTTCACACACCCACACACCCTGACAAAGATATAAATACATTCACATATATACATATACATATACATAATGTATAATGTATAATGGTAATGGTAATGATAATTTTGAAGAATAATAATTATAAAATATAGAAAAAAAAATTAAAAAAAGAGAGAAAAGAAACTTACTGCGCGCCTTGCAAGGTAGTATGGACAAAAATTCATTTTTGCGCAATATTCTTTTAAATCCTCTAGAGTGTAGACACCATTGGGAATCGGTTTTGGTACCTTTGTAGACTCCAATTGCTACAAAGAAAAACAAGTGTTAATACATTTGTTATTTACTTTATTTTGGGCTATGTCTCTTACTTCATAAAAGCTGCACAATTCGACATCAGTGTCTACTTCCATTGCGTTCGAAGGTCCCTGGTCTTTTCCAAGTTTTCCTGCCTTTGCACGAACCCAACTTGCGGTCATGTTTCTACATTTTGCATCCACAGCCTTTCCTTTCTTTTCTTTGGAAACGACTGGATGAAGACACAGGTTCTTTCGACTTGTCAGACCCAATCCAAAGAAATCGTCTACCAATCCTTCCTTTTCTCTGTAATCCATCAAGTGCTTGAGTTCCGCCAATGCCTTTTCGATTTCAGGTACAGTACGTGAACAATATACCAATTTACGATGATTTTCTGGGTATTGCTTTAAACATACACACACACACCAGTATATATATATGATTATAGATATTTATACAATGTAAAAATAATATATATATATATATAAAGAAAAAGAGAGAGAGAGAGAGAGAAAAGAACGTTATTATTACTATTATCATTATACTTGTCAATCGATCGATTGATTGATTAAATTAAGTTAAATTAAATTAGATTGTTTGATAGATTCAATATTTGTAAGAACAGAATTTGTACACTACAGACATGCGTAGGATTATTACTAATACTACACATTACACATTACGCACCATTTGGTAGGCAACAATCAATGACAGGAGGGATACGGTCTTGCCTGTGCCAGAAGGCATCTCAAGTAAGCAATGACCCTGCTCAACATTATATTTATATATTTATATTTATATACATACATGTATATAAATTTATTTCATAATTATTTTTTCAGGACGAATGGAATTGTATATATATTTTTTATGCAAGACAATGGGATGGGAGGTTCACATTGGCAAACACTAAACTTGCCTGAGCATCCAATGATTTCTTCAAATCGCACATGTATTGATATTGTTCTGGATAGATTTTATCATACGGAAAATGGACGACGAGATCGTCAATGTTGAATCTATCACAAAGTTTACAGTATATAAGCTTATCTTTAATGAATAAAAGAGAAAGAAAAAAGAAAAGAAAAGTAAATGCATAAAAGCCAATCCATCCTATCTTTTTTTTTTTCTTTTTTTTTTGTAGAATGTACAAATTTCAATTATGTAATTTCTAATAAATATATATAGATATATATATAGATATATATAGATTTAAGGAATCACGCGTACATCATGATGAGTTGGATTCTTCGTTATATATGTATATGTAAAGAAGTAGAAAGAAATGAATTGATACAAGCAGAAAGATCCTCTTTCTTTCTTTTTTTCAATAAAAAAAAATTGTGGGATCGGAATGCGTTTTGTATAATCAATTGAAAGGACTATGAAAGTTTCTGTAATCAAATATTTAAGACTTTTTGTGTGTGTCTCTCTCTGTGTATGTGTGTGCAGAACATTTTCTTAATTCTTGAAAGTCCAAAAGTGAAAAGAGAAAAAAAAAATCACGTGACACGTGGCACACCTTAACCACACACACACATATATATTATGTAGTTTTTTTTTCGTTTCTTTTCTTTTTCTTTTTAAAGAAATAATATAAAAAATATAAACATTTAAGCATCATGTCTCAAATGCCATCTGGACAAGGACCTCATCATTTCGGACCTGGTGGAAATCCTCCTCCAGGTTTTATGTTACCCATGGGAGGTGGACCACCTCAAGGTGGCGGACCCATGGGTCACGGTCCACCAGGACATCAAAACTTTGGTCCTCCTGTAGGTTCATTGAACCCAAGTGTTCCTGTTGTAGCCCAATTGCAGGCATCTGTTCCTGGTATTCCAGTAAACAAGCAGCCTCTCAACAAAGTCCCTAGCAGAACTGTATACGTGAGCAATCTTAATGAAGACGTGAAGATCGATGGTAAATTTATTTAACAAAGAAAAAAAAAGTTAATCGCGTAATTATTATTATTATTATTATTATTATTATCATAACGATCCAAATATCTCAATTTTCTTTTTCTCTTTTATATATTTAATTGTTTTTTGTTAATTAATTAGTTTTGAAAAACACACTTCGTACCTTGTTTAAACAATATGGTGAGGTTTTGGATGTTGTGGCTCATGGCAACATTCGTATGCGTGGTCAAGCTTTTGTTGCTTTTCCTGATGAGGAAAGTGCAACAAAATCCATCAAGGAATTACAGCACTTTACACTCTATGGAAAGCCGTTGGTAAGTATATATATATATATATATACTGTCAAATAGATGTACACATGTTTATAAATGGGGGTGCGTTGTGTATTATATGTAGGTTGTTCAATATGCCCGCAACCGATCGGATGTTCATGCCAAAGCAGATGGAGACTATCCTGACCATTATAAGAGACGCTTAGAGAGAAAGGGTAAGAAAAGAAGAAAATAAAACAAAAGGGAAAAGGGACTATTGTATTAGTGACAGAAGGACTGATCCATGAGTGTATTTGGTATTTATAGAGGAAGTCAGAAATCTCCCATTACCTGGATCTCACAAGCCTACATTTGCCCCTGCTGGATCCAGTAAGTTTTCAACAACCAGTATACATATATATATACTACTACCACTAGATGCTTAATACTTTTATTATTATTCTTTAAAACCAAAAACCAAAAAACCAAAAAAAGTTCCTCCTCCCAGCAACAACACCTTCTCTTCTGGACAACATATTCCCGACGAATACTTGCCTCCCAACTCTATTCTCTTCTTGCAAAACTTGCCCGAGGATATCGAACACAATCAGCTTGTGGAGCTCTTCCAGCGCTTCCCTGGTTTCATTGAAGTTCGTATGATCCCTACCAAAAAGGGTATTGCTTTCGTCGAATACACAAACGAGATGCAGGCTTCGATTGTCAAGACCGAATTGGCCAACCATACATTCGATCCCGAGCATGTCATGAAGGTTACCTTTGCCAGAAAGTAATCGACAAAGTAATATACAAATCGTCTTAGAGAGCAAATCAAATGGATATTGCTTTTTTTTGTCTATATTCTTCTTTTTTTTCCCTTGATGAACATTGCACTTCCGTTCGGTGTATAATAATAATAACAATAACAATAACAATAATAAAAGCTGATACTTCTTTATCTTTATATTTCATTTTAATACTTATATTAAGGCTTGGGTTTGGCAAACAAACAAAAAAATCTTTATTATTTTTGCTTCTCTTGTTTGGCTTTATAGGATATTGTAAAATTAGAAAGGGTTGATTGGGTGGTAATGGTATAGATATCCTCTTTGCTTGTTTGTGTGCGTTTGTGCGTTTGTGCGTTTGTGTGTTTGGGTGTGTGGGTGTGTGGGTGTGTGTGTGTGTGTGTGTGGGTGCGTATGTGTGTTTGTGAGTGTATGTATGTATGTGTGTATGTGTGTATGTGTGTGTGTGTGTGTTGTTCCAATGGTGTTATAGATCCCAAACAATTTCAGTTACAAATATAGAGGCCGTCTGCCTGCTTTCACTCAGCGCATCAAGATCATCGACATGAAGTTTGAATTGGCCAGGGATGCTGTTTGGATTGACAATGCTCACCGAAAGTGTCAACGTACTACCTGGTTCAACAATACCCGTTCCATCTTCGGCCAATGGAGTGATCTTGACGATATCATTAGCAAAGAATTCAGCCGGTCCTTCCAGAGTAAGCTTGAACCGCAAAGGAGTTTTGGAAGCATGGTTGACCAAAGTAAGCGGGCAACTGGATGGCACACATTGGTACTCGGCATGCGGCAGTGGTGGTAAGTGTGGGTCATCCTTGGACTTCTCCTTGACCTCGACAATCTTTAACTCATCCTTGCTCCCCTGTCTTTCTCCATCGCCTTCCTTTTCTCTATAATATGTGTCTAACTTGAAGTCCAGGCGGCGTTCACTTAGGGAGAATGTAGGAGTTTCCACCAATACTGCCCGAAGTGGAATCACCTCGCGCACCTTACTGTCTTCATCCATCTCATCATCTTCTTGAGTTGGTCTGGTTGTCACCCACAACTTGGCCAATATGATACCTGCAGGGTCTGTCAGATCAGGTCGATCGCGAGGTAGGCGTGATGTTTCGTTTGGAGAAGCTCTCACGCGCACTTCGATAGTGCCCTGTGGACTGAGTGCTATGCTTCCCTTGAGTGGCGAATTGGTGTAGCGTGAAACAACATCAACCTTGACATAACTCTCGAGGTCAGGAGACATGTCGGCACCAATCTCGAAGCGGATATCGTCATCTGTCTTGTTGCGAATCGTAAACCAATTGTCACACGGTACGTTCTGAACACTAAATGGGTGGTGAAGAGTAGGTAGGACCAGTTCACCGTGCGTCAGCCGCTCGAATTCCAGCTCAAATACTGTCATAAACGTTTTCAGACGCAAGACCATGGTGTTGCTGTTGTTCCGTTGGTTGGCAATCCGGACATCAAATCTGTTCTGTCCAGAGGTCTGATCGGGCATGCGTCGAGGATCTACTGTACCTTCAATCGTTTGGGACTTCCGAGAAGGAATGTAGAGTTTTTTCTCTGAAAGAGACATTCCGTTCTTGTCCAGTGGAATAAAGTCAATGAATTCAGGTGCTTCGAGATCGTATATAACCGGTACATCAGCTACGTTACGGATAGTAAACTTGAATTTGGTAGGTTTCCAGGATGTAGTGTGCCCGATCTTCCCAAGGTCAATTCGATCCACCTCCAATTCAGCCAAGGATACACAGAAAAGAGCCTCGATCTCCATAGCCAGCATCTCAAGTTGTTGTCTCAGATCGTATATAAGCAACATACCCTTGAGTGATCCACTTCTGCCTTGAAGCGCTAGCGAGCGACCGTCTTCGTCCAGTCTCTCGGCAGATGGGCACTGTAATCTGACTCGCATACGCTGTCCAGGTTGGAGCGTAAGCTGCCCACTGCGCTGTAAGAATACGCCCTGGGCAGGTGCATACACCTCTCTAATCTTGTCTTCGTCAGCTACCCAACCGGCGGTGATGTCTACATCACTTAGAACAACAAGCTGCATGGGATAGCCGGATGCATTGGCAACTTCGATCTCTCTCATGTAAAAGCGCTTTCCTTCCTCAACTGGGAGATCCATAACCTGGAGTAAAGGAACCGATACACCGTGTTCCATTGATCGATGAGGAGATGGGCAGATATAGATACTCTCCCATTTGACGACAGGTAAAGGATGTGCCTCGCGATGATCAGAGTGGTCGACTAGTTCATCAACAGAAGTGTGCTGAAGAAGCTTTCCGAAGTTTGGTGACCAGGCGTCGAGTTTCTTGTTGTCCACGAAAAGACGGATATCAATCTCAAACACCTCTTGACTATTGTGCTTGTTGGTCACAATCAATTTCTCATTCAACAGACCGTAACAATGGGTATATATGCGAAAGGTAATCTGTGCGAGTGAGCCTATTGTAGTGTCATCCGCATAAGACGTTCGACGTTGCTTTTCATCAAGGTATCCAGTGTCAGATGGTCTTGTTTTTGATCCTTTCCAACCCATCAGGGTGCCGCCGCGTCTATCCAGGACTACGTTTCCGCTGGCACATTCTACTTCATAGTCCAGCGGAAGCTGACCAGACTTGTTCTTGATTGTGAACGCCCCATAGAACTCCTCGTTCAATAGATCCGAGTAACCAAGATTAATGATACGGTCAGATATCTCTAAATGCGACTGGCCGATAATGGAAGTAAACTTGACGGTCTGGTTTAGCATCAACAGTAATTCTGACTCGTCGTTCTCTTCGGGTGCATTGTTGTCTTGTGTAAAGATTGAGAACTTGATACCACCTACTAACTCACGACATTCGTTTGCGGTACTTCCCAGATACCCTGTCAGTAAATTTGGTTGAACAGCGACCCAGATTGTAGTCATACTATCTCGCTTGAAAGGCATCTGCTCCACAAGTCCACGCTCGCCTGTTTCGTCCATAAATATCAGAACCTGATGAGACAGGTTACTCTGACAAGTGATGTATAGGTCCTGGTCTGATATGTTCTTTACGAGAAGAGGCGTGACTTGTGAGTATTTGCTTCCAGGATCTACATACGAGTAGCCGAGGTCCAGGACATCTTGTGTATCTTCCAACAATGAAGGGAATGAAAGATAACGTCGGTGGTGTACAAGACATTGGAGTGTAAAGTATTGGATGCTTCCCGTTTGGCGGTTTCGGAGCGAGAATTTATAAAGACGTTTTCCGACCGTGGTCGGTAAGATTTCGAACATAACCTTGCGAGTTTCGTGAGGTGCCAAAGGTGTGGGTGTTTCTGTCTTGAAGAACTTCTTTTCTTTGTTTCCGATGACAAGTTTGTATTCCAATGGCTCGTCCGAAGTGTTTGACACCTTGACATAGAATGTTGATCTCTGGTCAACTTCGATTTTACCTCCATCAAAGAAATTGCGCTCAAGAATAAGGGTCTCGGGTTTGCTTGTGTCCCTCGACAGGGTATCTTTGGTGGAATTGTTGGTAGTTACACCATGCTTATCTTCATTAAACGCAGTTGAAGAATCTTCTTGGGCTGTTGTTGGAACTGTTGTGGTGTTGCTCATTGTATCTGCTGCCAGTGCATCTGTGTATGATGCCTGGTCAGCACAGACTGTGGCAGTGTAGACAATGCTCTTGCAAACATCGGTATTTTTATATTCGTGAGCTAAAATACGGCCTCGAATAGGCAATTTCGCGGTTTCTTCTTCTTCAAGTAATGTATATTCTGGTTGAAAAGGTCGTGTCACGGCCTTGAATCGAACGGAAATGGTCTTTGTGGCGTGGGAGTCAAGTGGGAAGACTACACTTTCGGATGTCTTTTTAAATATGATGGCACTTTCCTTGGTTGCTACTGATGTAGAAGCTTCTTCAGTCTCTGGTTTTTCGATGGCTGATTTTGGCTCCGGGAAGTCTGTGACATCTGTCGTATCTTCACTTGCGGTTTCATCTGTATCCAAAACATCGATATTTTTTAACTTGGCCAGTTTTTTGATGTACTTCTTCACTTTGTCAACCTGTTTCTTGCGACGTGCAATTTTAAGTTTCTGCTCTAGATTCTCAATTTCTTCTTCGGCTTCTTTCGAAATTGTGTTGGCGTCGTCATCTTCAACCACAAAGTCAAATTCGCCGAAATAAGGGCCAAAAATAACCTCATTAGGATCCACTCGTACTTCAAATAATCTCGACTGCTTGTTAGTATTGGTCAAAACGATTGTTTCAATTCGCTGACAGCCTTGGTCGGCTAAGCAGGGGCCAAAGGCCAATTCCATTGACTTGATGAAGAACGTGGATGGTTTACGAACCATTGCTTTCAGTGAAAGAACTTGATTATTGGTCCGGTCACATATGTTCTCTACTACCAATCGTTCTAAAAACGTGCCAGGCAGGGTAGGCTCGAAAACAAACTCAATTTCACGCTTGCCAAACGCTCGTACTACACCATATCGTCCAACTCCCAGCTCAATGTCACCAGAGGCAATTGAACCGGATTTACGAATAGCATAAAGTAATGGGGTTTCACTTCTGTTGTGAAGTACAATAGACTTTGCATGTCTTTCATTCCGCTCTACAATACCAAAGTTGATATTCTTTTGACCCAAGTCCATAACTGATCGACAGAGCTGAGCACGTACAATCACCTCACGTACAGGAATAAGAGAGTTGTCAAGATCCATCAAGTTCTCAAACTCGGTTTGCTCCATGTTTCGGTCAAAATCAATCAGTCGTAAGAATATTCGGCCATCTTGTTTTTTAGGCGCTGTATGTACGTGAGGTTTCGTATTACCCTTTGGCGTAAATACGATCACAACTTCTTCCTCGCCCTGTGGCTCAACCTGGACTAGCATCGCAGGTACGAGATCACCCTTCTCTATCAATCTGTCTAGTTCTCGTCTCCAAGCCAGCTGATGACGCACGAATTGTTCCTCTGCTGATTGTTTTGGAAATAAGGGTGGGGTGGCCTTGGAGCCATGCTCAAGTACAGAGATAAGATCTTCAAATGGGACACGAGATTTGCCTGCTATATCAGACCAATCTAGATTCTTCCTCGATTTGTACCTTGCTGCAGTTATACCCATCGGCTTCTTGGTTTTTTCGTGTATGGTCTCAAAAGAATCAACATGCTTAATTGGACTAGGCTTGTTCTTTAAATTTGCGGTATCCGTTGTATTTTGGCCTGTGTACCCTCCTTGTAACGGCTTGTTTGTGCCTCCCTCACTCTCAGAACTAATGCGCGAAATACGATATGCCTTGTGACGCATTCCATGTGTCTCCTGGGAAATCTTGGCTTTTTCGACATGCGAATGGACCACCCATTTCCGACGGGCGTGAAGTGTGTGAAGTAAAGGAGATGTGGCCAGGTCGAGATATGCCGTTGCGGCAAGAGCGTGATCAGCGCGAATTTGGTGTGAAGGACGGACACGACGCATCAAAAGAGTGTCCTTCTTGGTGTCCGCAGTATGACGCGTTCCAACCACAGCTGAGGCTCCCGGTTTTACGGCGTGCTGCTGCTTAGTATTACTCTTTAATACAGTATTTATCAGGGGTTTAGTAATCGGCTTTTTTACAAGACTATTTCCAATCCGCTTCCTCTTAGTGTAGACCATAATATCGTCTGGCATTGAAGATGAAATCTCAAGAGTAAGTAGTTTGTCACGGATATTCTCAATTGTAAATGTTCTAATAGATGGAGTGTTGAGTGCAATCGACCCAAAATCTAAGAAGTTGGCACCGGTCGCCGTAAGGATACGATAGAACAGTGAATGAAACGTTACTCGATTTTTGTCAATATTTGTACTCTGAACTTCGATAATCTGATCATTGTCACTATTCAAGTAGTTCACCAACGTGATTTGTTTTCGGTACTCAGGGTTCACCTTTCGTGGGTATAAATCCAATTTCAACTCAACATAGTTACGTGGTGGTATTGTGATTTCGCCTCGCAAACAATTGAGCACTTTGGAAGTAAATTGTAGCTCGACACGCGCCATAATATCTGAGCGGTTAAAGATATTGATAGGAAGTGATTTGAGTGTTCCCACATCAGTATCTCCAAAGTTGATTTCTTTTGGGATAACTTCGACAAAAGAAGTACATGTTCTTGCTTTACACTGAATCGCCTTCCTTTCTTTTGGCTCTGAGCTTCTGTAGGTACCATACTCAAGTGCGATACGAAAGTTTCGTCGAATTAACTGTCCTGCGTTGAAATCATTGATAGAAGAGTCTTTCTGAGGTCTATATGATACTTGAATGACTCTTTCATGACCTGGCTTTAACAAAAGATCCTCTATCCTTGTATAGCTCTCTGCACTGCTCAGCGCAGGTGCAGGTAGGTCATAATTTGTGTTTGTAAACATATTATGCGATCCCATAAGTTGCAACCCCATATCGACGTCAGACTCGTCACCTGTGCTGGTTACGGTATCTATTGTAGAGGAACGCATTGGCGGTGTGTGCGACCTAGAATTCGGGGCGAGATCTCTGGATACTGGTGAACTCGATCCCTCTCGGTCATTTGCATACATTCCCTGCATAGAAGGAGTAGGCGAGGAGGAGCGTGAGCTGACTTCGCTGTTTGGTCCTGAAATTTCGCTTGCGCTAGCTACAGTTGCCGTGGGAGTAGTGTATATACTTCTGGTGCTACTGTCCCTGTCATAGTTCCGTCCTAAGCGTTTCATCTTCATGTCTGAAGTTTCGGTTGCCGATGATGCAAGGTTGTTTTGATTATCTTCTGATGGGTCCAATGTAGACTTAATATCAAACATGATCTCGGCACCTTCGGGTAGAAATCGCACCTCGACTAATGATTCGCTCACATTATTCAATACGATCTGTTGAACTGCCCATTGCCCTGAAATACAGTCGCCAAAGTCTAATAGTGTGCCGCTACTGACAGTTAGAGACTCTTTGTGCATTACGGAGCGTACTGTGGCATGTATCTTTGTCTGAACTACGTTTCTAGAATCGTTTGCGTTCTCTAACTGCAAGTCATAATTGAATTCCCCGACTTCTTTTGGCATAAATGCTAAACGGATGCGTTTGTTTGAGTAGCTCTGAATTGGACAATTGACAAGGGGTTGGTTTGTATCTGCATCTGAGAAATATAGCCATCCTTCTTGGTTAAGATTCGATAGGTCAACAGTATTCAGTAGCCAATAGAGCTCGATTTCACTCTTGTTCTGAATAACAATATCCTTGTAATATGTCTCTCCGAGCATGCAGTCTTCGAAATTTATACCAGTTTCTGCCACATCTGTCCAAAGTACAGACTGGCACACACTTGCCCTGAACTTGATCGACAGCTGGTAGTCAGCCATTGCTGTAGTTATTAGGTTGTCTTGTTGAGTATCAATGCGTGCAGTTATGTCGGTGCTGTTGTAATCAGGAAGCCGGTAGCCAAAGAAGAAGAGACTGCCTGTTACATTAAATTGCTCGTATGAATCTTCGTCTTCTGCTGCTTCGTGGCCGTAGCCAGTGTCATGTCCAGAGCTATCGGCCTCTTCTTCTCGTGCTCCTGTGTGTGAAGGGTTTGCTTCTGGTAAAAATGCAAGAATGAATGTGTGGGAAGAGAAAGGACCAAGTTCTAACTGGTCTATGTGCTTGACATAATTAAAGAGCTGGTTAAAATGGCAGGCGTCAGAAAGCTTAGCTCGAGACCAATCGACCGTATTTGTGGCAATCCCTTGGAGATCTGATTCTGAAAAGTCTGCAATATTTTCGTTTTTGAGCTGAAAAGCGATCTGATTGCGTAGATTAGAACGCATCTTCACAAGAACAGGACATTCTGATAAATTGCGTATTTTCAGTTGCCGGAGAGAATGGAGTCCATTCCGGTAGACATTGTCCAGGGTTATTCTTCCATGTACGTCTACTAACTCAATCACCGGTGTGCTGCTGTATTTACTAGTTGGAGGAGACGCATCGTCTGGAGAATCGGGTTGCATAGAGGACGACGATTGTGCATCGTAGCTAGACATATCTAGCAGATCCAGGGAAATAGAGATATCTATTAGAGGACTCTTTCAAGCACAATAATTTTCTTGAAAGCAAATAATAATAATACGGAAATACAGAAAAACATTGCCACATACGTTAAGTGAGGAGTGGTGCGGGCTGGTAAAAGCGTAAATGTGAAAGCACTGCCATTGTCCTCTCATTAGCACTATTTTGTGTCACGTGAGATCACCGTTTCCCGCGTGGCAAATCATTAACCTGCATCTTATCTGTTTGTGTATGGCGCTCCCCGTGCTTAAGAAAAAAAAATTGGCAAATTAAGCAGACAGAAAGATAAAAAAGAAATCGAGCCTTATCTATGAACTGATTATAAAAAGGAAGCGTTAGACATTTCTAGCTGAGGTCTCTTGTTTATTTTTTTCGTTGGACTTATGATTCATCTCTTGTGGTCTTTACCTGGCTTTATACACGACAACCGGTCTTTCTATGTATCTTCTCTATCTTTTAAAGAGAAAGAGAACCAGAGTTTACAAACCCCCGGTTTTTTAGATAGTTTTTGCTCCTCAAAAATACATGATTCTGGCTTTGGCTTACTATTCTATGTCGAGCATCCAAAGGCAGCTCTGAAATCGTTAACAGATACAAGTACTCTTAACAAATCAATGAAGATCATTTGGAAAAAGTCTTGTACTGCGTCCACAAAGATACTTATAGGTCCAGAAAGCTCTGGTCATAATTCACTGATACACTGTAAAGATGTATTGGATCCGTGCCTACCTACCATTCCCCGCAAATCATCTCTGTTACCCAAGCATATCTGTACATTCCCGGTAGCTGTCAAATCCTCATCAACCACAGGTTCTGTGTCGACAACTAGCGCTATGATTCTATCTCGACGATCGAATAACGCGAGTGAAGACTGGTGCTTTTTACACTATGTCTCTGAAGTAAATGGAAACCAAAGAAACCAATGCCACACGCCTGCTGCTATTCAAAAGAGAACACCTTGGAGTATGTTGCATGTCCATGTGAGAGAGACACGGGCAAATCCGGATGAGCTTCGCATGCTTGCTGCAGAGCTTAGTATGATTCGACAAGAGAAGCTGACACGCCCCCTGAAAAGCCGTCGATATCGGGATGAGCGTGGGGATGATTTTGTGTGGGGTCGTAAAAGTAGTTTGAGAAACGTTGTCTAGAGAAAGTCTTTTAAAAAAAAGAAAAGCACATGTATAAAAAGCTGGAATTCACATGGAATAGATAAGCACATTATTCTTGTTTGTGTTGTCCTTATATTTATTATCTATATACGTCCTTCATTTAGTAATTTTGATCTCTATTTATGATCTTCTTTATTTTATTTGGATTATTAAAAAAAAAGAATTAATTGATACATATACATATTTATGTTTGTGCCTCTGTTTGTATGTGTGTATTTATTTGTTTATTAGATAGTTTGAAATAAACATAGTCCTCTAAGAATGTGTTCAAGTATTTATATGTTTCATCTTTGAAAATCATGAATATCAAATCCAACTCTTTTTGATAACTGCAATTGCTCTGATCAAGCGGAGTCCTGCATTTGTACATTAAGTGGCTTGTATTTGGCTTTGAAGAACCGTCAAAGAAAAAACAACAAAAAGGTGTTTTGGGCATTTTTTACTCTTTCTTCTCTCTTACAACTTGACTTAGTCACCGCTGGTACGTTGTCATTGATTGTCGATCACCATGGCATTACACATATTTACTCATCCCTCTTCAAATTCTACCAACTTATTTAGAGATATTAAACCTGAAAATGTCTTACGTCGCTAAGAACTCCACTGAAAAGGCCGGTCTCGAGGAACAGGCCCAGCCCAAGATCCATCGTATCCGCATCACCTTGACCTCCCGCAATGTCAAGAACTTGGAAAAGGGTATGTATGAAAAGATTAAAAGCTCAATTTATTCAATTCATTAATAAAAAAAAATACCTTGTGAAAATGTAGTCTCTGCTGATCTTATCCAGCGTGCCAAGGACAAGCAGCTCAAGGTGAAGGGTCCCGTCCGTCTCCCCACCAAGGTTCTCCGTATCACCACCCGTAAGTCTCCTTGCGGTAACGGTTCCGAGACCTTTGACCGTTTCGAGATGAGAATCCACAAGCGTTTGATCGACTTGCACTCTCCCTCCGAGATTGTTAAGCAGATCACCTCCATCTCCATCGAACCCGGAGTTGAGGTTGAGGTCACCATCGCTTAAAGCGTTTACTAGGATCTAAAGCTCATCACTTGTGATGGCGAGACTGCTAATGTTCATAAATAAAATATCTTTTATGGCATTGCCTTTTCATCCAAAAATAATGTTCCTTAAGTTTAATTAATGTGCAAGTGTATGGTATCGTGTCGATAATATTATGAAGAAGGCTGTTGGCTCTATCTTTTTATCTTTATAATTTTGGAATATTTGTGATATAATTGCACAAAAGTAAATTCTAGTAATGTTTATAATAATTACTTTCTGTACGGTGGTCTACATACATCTAGCATCATACGATGGTATGAATTAACAAAAAATGAAGATTGTTAAGTGTTGCATAATTATATATATATGTAAAAAGAGAATGATCATGATTAAAACGATTATCGAAGTGCCAACGCTGCCAGAAACGTAGACCAACCAAAAATTAATATAAAATGTAGAAATGTCGTTCCCGATCTGGGTTGGTCTTCCTTTTACTATAACAAAGTCAAAAGGTCAAACCCACTGGGGATCAAGGAGTATACGTAAAATCAAAGAGAGGATAAAGGATACTTTTTATTGATATGAATTTAATTGTCTTATATAGTTTTCTAGACTAATACCGTGCATTATCCGCAGTAGTTATTATATTATATTTAAATAAAAGAAGAGCCATTATACTGCGGTTAATGCTCAGGAAGATGTTACTGCGCATAACGAGGTACTGCGGTTAACCATCTTCAGATTTTACGGATTCATCAAAATAATGTCGTGCCCGAATTCTTGTTAGCCAATTAGGATGACGATTACACAGAATTCTCTTTTGAGAACGACGACCAAAGTGATTTCCTTTTGCTCACAAAAGAATTAGAAAGCACATAGCTTAACAAAAGTAGAATAGAAACCGAAACAGACATTTATAATGGCTGAGTAGGTTTAGAAAAGATATAAAAGAGGGCGTTATTTCATTCAATAAAAGTTATCTATCTTTCTATCCTCTTTTTATTCTTTTATCTTCGTTTACGATTCCCAGTGGGTTTGACCAATTTTGGCTGTGTTATAGCATTGGAAGAACAACCCAGATCGAAAACGACAATAATGTCCGACATAGGTAAAAAGATTCCAAGTGAGGGGTTTGAACCCTCGCCCTCTCTCGAGGATCTGAGCTTAAGTCAGACTCCTTAGACCACTCGGACAACTTGGAAATGCTGAAAGCCAGTCAATTTATAAATAAATAAAACAACATAACGTTTTATCCTAATGATTTTCACTTTTAAGAAATTTTAAGACTGTGTTATATTCTTAAAAAAGAAAGAAAAACAAAGTGCAGATGAGAAGTATGGTGAGACTTTGTTTATTGATAAAAAGAGAGATCATCTTCTATTGCTATTTGCTATGTGAGTTTATATAGACATTGCATGTGTATTTAGGATAATGATATGAGTATATCATGTGATGTTTGTTTTCTTATATTATAGATAATATATTATTAAGTTATTACCTACACTCTTGTTTGAGTGATTAGTGATGTTGACTAAGGTATGTGATCTTGTTATTGGTATATTATTTATTTAATGATAGTGCGAAAAATAATGTATAATTGATACTGGTCGCTTATTCAATATGTTTTTGTCTTATTATCTGTGCGCTTTATTTGAATCCACAATTATATTGGATACAACACTCTGTCTTTATAAAAAAATAACAGTTGTACTATAGTATTTCAGATACAAAACAATAGAAAATAATGATATTTGAAAATAAAAATGTATAGAAATACTTTGAGACTGTATACCAGTTGTCTTTTATTCATAAATAAAAGATATCTTTTTATAAGAGAATTTAATCTGTTCTTCTTATTATACTTTACTTTTTTAAATATAATATACATACTGTAGTGTACACACTACAATTAAATAAACAACAGATCCCAAAATCAAACACTAGTTTCTTCTTACTAATTGTTGTAAATGAGTATTGACTACTGCTGTAATTGAGAATAAGTCTGAAGAAAATAATATAAGACCTCAGCTATTCCAGTCAAAGGTGTCTACCGATTACTTTATTATTTAACACACAGGTTTAGCATGCATGATAGTGATTATATTTCATATGATGATATTACCATAATATGTGATACATCAGCGGATTATTATAAGTATAATTATAACTCATAAACACATTTACTTTCGATGTCAATACTTTATTGGGACTACACATATTTATATAATTAATCATACATTAATTATCCCAAGATCACATTGCTCTGATTAAGGCTCAGATAGGATCGATTACCTGACCCCAGTCATATAATTTTTCTGATCCAAAATAATATAAATAGCAGTAGTAGTTCAGTGTAGGAACCTTGTCAAACTTTGATACAAAATCTTTTCTAAATAAACAAAACCTACACAAGTTCTCACAAATCTTCGTTCCTAATCTCAAATCTTCAATTCTTCCTCTTAAAAACTTCTTCAACTTCAACCACTACAACACTATTGTTTTGTACTTGAAATATCACACTATATATGTAATTTAAACAATATATCAAGATCTACAATAGATTCTATCCATAGACTCTATTCACAGATATTATTTAGATTAGAAAATAGTCTAAGTTAAGTATCATCTTATCTAAAATTTTGTATATTTGGATGACATTTCTGTAAAGTATAAAGCCTCTTATTATCCAGAAAAATATATCTACCAATTTCGAATATTTAAGTATTATAGTCATATAGTTGAAGAAGTTTACTTGTCAAATATGTTAGATTGTTTAGCTTATCAATAGCAATTTTATTGTCAAGAATTATTGTTAAGGTATTTGGAATTGTTTATGAATTAGTATCACAATAATAATAATGTAGATACTGTGAAAATATTATTTATTAAAGAGATCAAATAGTATTGTTTATATCTGTTACTATTAAAATCTCTGTTATTGTAAATGAGTATTGATTACTGCTGAATCTGAGAGTAAGACTGAAGGATAAAATAATATCCTCAGCTATTCCAGTCAAACGGATCTGCCTTTATGATATTAGCTAATACACAGATCATCATACACATAACTGATGATTTATTATTATTACCATGACATGAGATATACAAATACATATACATTATATATATGGCATCATTATATTTCATCTACATATTTCTTTTATTATACAAATACTTAATTGAGAGACTACAACTACAACTATTTAATATTATGAAACATTACCTAAGTATCTGGGTCAGAATAGTAAAATATTACCAATAGCATAAATGCTCTTCTTTACCAAAACTCTCAGACTGATCTGACTGGAGAAGTATCATATCAATTGGTCTTTCCGAATCTTTCCAGAAGAACAATACTCCTGGAAGATGACTCATCGTGATAAAGATTACTTAAGCACACACTGAATTACAAATTAGAAAAACATATAAATATCAGTAGATAGTTCTGTGTAGAAAAACAATCGAATTTTATTATTCTTTGCTTTTCTTTTGAAATAAACAACCTACACAAGTTCTCACGAATTCTTTTGTCTATATTGTATTTTGCTTTATTTTCTCCCCACAACATCTGTAATGTAATGATTGGCTCACACTGTATGAATGTGAAATGTACATGTGTCTAATATGTAACAGTTTTGGAGATTGTTAACTTGCCAGATTCATTAGCAAGAATGAACTAGTGTTTGGTTGTAGAGTCGGTTCTTCACTCAATAGTGGTATGTATATCACAATTTTTTCATAAAGAGATTTCTGGAAATCTAGAAGTCAGCCCTTGCAAATAAGACAGCACTAAATTATATTCTTGGGTTCAAGAAATTATCTAATAGATAGCATAATTTTGACAAGTAATTCTGATACCAGCATACTGAAAGCAACGACTCTATGCTTTTCTTGAATAGAACTTTCAAAAATATATGAATAAAAGAGAGAGAAAAGAAAAGAAGATAAGAAGAAACGTTCTTTTCAAAGTAGCACATTCCTATAGCCAGGTTTATAAATCTTTATATTTATGAAATAAGGGACACAATAAAGCTTAAAGCTCTAAGCTATGTAACATCCTTGACAAGGTTTGACATCATCAAAAACCAGCTTAGAGTCTCTGACAATTAAGGTTCTTTAATTCTGAACATATAATACTTTCATGGTATGTACTTATCATCTAAAAATTATTTTAATTAAGTGGTTTATATACAATAGAAAAATTATATACCAAGTTAGATTTATACTTAAAATAAGATGGGTGGGATATAGGTTACCTAATTTTTCTATGTTTTCTGCTTGCCTTGCTTTTAAAACATCCTTTTATAAACTTTTCTTATAATTACAATGTGTTTCCCTTTTCTTTTTTGTTAATGACTTAAGCATATTTATATATATACTGTTGTATCCAACATAATCGTAGATTCAAATAGAGTACACAGACAATAAGATAAAGACCTATTGAATAAGCGACCAGTATCAATTATACATTATTTCTCACACTATCATTAAATAAAGAATATACCAATAACAAGGTCATACACCTTAGTCAACATCACTAATCACTCGAACAAGAGCGTGGGTAACAACTTAACAATATATTATCTATGATATAAGAAAAACAGACATCACATGATATACTCATATCATTATCTCAAATACGCACGCAATGTCTATATAAACTCACATAGCAAATAGCAATAGAGAATAATCTCTCTTTTCATCAATAAACAAAGTCTCACCATACTTCTCGTCTGCACTTTGTTTTTCTTTCTTTTTAAAAAATATAACATATATAAATCATATTGAATATTATTAATCAGTCCAGAATCAGTACAGGTACTGCGAATACTTTTGTCACTATTATGATATACCCAACACAATTGAGTAAATAGCAGACTCTACAACCAAACACAAGTTCCTTCTTGCTAATAAACCTGGCAAGTTAATAATCTCTGAAGCTGTTATACACCATGCACACGTATACTACACTCTCATACAGTGTAAACCAACCATTACACAACAGGGATTTTAATAGTAACACATAAACAATATTATTTTTGTCTCTTTAATAAATAACACTCGCAGTATCTACTTTTCTCATTATTGAGATACTATCCCAAAATCAATGCCGAATACCTCAAGATGAGATAATTTAAAGCATTCACAGTAGTTTATCTAAACCTGAAATCATATCTTTCTATTGCTCGATTGTTTTTGTGAAGCGCTGAATTTAGACACCTGTTAAATAATTTTCTAGAAAAATAATTAAATTATTTATTTAGAAAAACTACTGTGGATCAAATAAATCTAAATTTACAAAAACTGCTGTGAATGCTCTTGTAATATTAACTTGATACTCCCTGTAATATAATTTATATAGCACTGACTGTAATGAGATTTTATTCAGATTAATTTATCGCATGTATATATTGATAAGATAATAGCTACTTGGCTTTAATAATATAAATATGCTCTTTTATATATTAAATATGACAACCTTGTGTCTGGAACACTACAAAGACAAGTTCTCATAAATTCCTTTGTTTTTTTATAACAGTATAAAATAGATAGTCAATTGCAATCTGAAATAATAAGAAAAGAAATTTTATAAGATATTTAGCCTTTATTAAATACTTTATATCATCTTTAGCTGAACTGTAAGTGTTTTTAGACATTTTGATCAAAGAATAAATAAGCTAGATCATTTCATTAAAAGTAGCTTTAATTTATTAAAAATAATAACAATTTAACAAGCTATTTATAATAAATTAAAGAAATATAAAATGAAAAAGAAATAATGACAATACTATAATCTTATAGACAACAATATATATATATATATTAACATCACAGCACAAAAAATAAAAAATAAAATGAGGGCTTTCTTCTTCTTAAAGATAAAAGCTCACTGTTAGAATTATACTTAATTCTTAAATCGATTGACTTTTGCAGTATATGTATCTTTTATATATAAAATCTTGTTAATATAATTTGAGAATAAGATAAAGCAAAGCAGAGACAAAATAAAAGAAATTATTGCTTAAAACTAACCTAGTTTATTTTTTTTTAAAAAGAAATGATAAAAGTACAATATTAAAATGCAGTCTTCTATTTAGAAAGGCCTATAGAAATATACTATTAAAAAGCTACGGTACAACGAATAAAATGCAATAAAATATACATGGGATTTTATTAATGACAAAAACATAGAAAATATGTTTCAATTCCAATTTATATTACCTATTCTTTTGTAAGTGGAAATGCAATATCTCACATTTTAAATGCTTAGATAGCGGGGGGAGTGACTACACAGTTAAGCTTTAAGTGTGTAGACAAACTATAAGCATGGTGGCAGGAAAATGAATTATAATGAGAAAGAGACAGATAAGATAGTACGTTTAAACGAGAGAGCGGACTAGTCTTCCAATTCACACTGAAAGACTTTGATTAGCCTAATAACCGGGGCTGTGGAAACAATGGAAGAGAATGTGATATCGTCAAAGATTTTTCTCCAATGACATTCCCAGTTGGCCAACATAATGCAGGCCACAACATGGTATTTACACGGTGGATCTTATCCACCGGTGTTTCTTGTATCGCTCATCGCAATGAACTTCGAATTAGTAACGTAGCTGTAGAAATGGTTCGAAGTAGTTAAATAGCTCTTTTTATTTGTTTCTTAATAAAATTGTCTTTCTACCCGTATTCATTTTCTTGTCACCGAGTTGGACATTTTCATCACATAACCAACCCACCATGTGTCAGTATGGAGAGAGTTGAGATGTTGATCTAATTCGAAAAACCAGTACATAGATACTCTGGGTTAAATTCAGAAATTTAAAAATGTGTTCAAAGAATCTTTGCCATACTTTAAGCCAGGTGCTATGCTTTTTTTTAGGTAGAGAAACAGGAAGTGAGTACACTACCAGAAACTTCGCAACAAATGGGACAAAAAATGATGAGTGCGTGGTGGGAATAACTTGATGCAAGCTGGTGCTACAAGAAAGCCTGGTGCAAAGCGCTCTATACCAAAGTTTTGAATTGTATAAAGAATATTTATTTTTCAGATAAAGTTCCGGTCGGAAGCTGAGATTCGAGGAAAAAAACTATAGAAGAGGCGGGGTGGACGATGCCATCTTGGATTTTAAGTATTTTTATTGTAACACTTTAAATTATAAGACTACTTTTTGATTCGAGGACTTTAAGCATATATTTAAAATTATGTTTTTATCTCATTTATGTTTTTCCTTTATTTCAATAACCTTTTTTTTTAAAAAAGAAAGTAGCTATTATTTAATTACTGACTTGTATCGCAGTAGGCTTTTATTTACTATATTTATATTTTTTTAAAAAAGAGTCTTTTGCGATTCACAACAAAAAAATGGCTTTTGGTCAATGGTAGATCAATATATTTCATAAGTAACATAAAATTCAAATGCCCCCCCCCCCCCATGATTTTATAGCATATTTTTCTTCCAAGTGAGACCCGTCTTTGTGATCATCTATTTAAGAATTTTTTTTTTGCCTTTTCTTACCCAACCTTTACAATATATAAATATAAATATACATTTACACACAGAAAGGTACCATATAGAAGATCTAGTACCCAGCACAATCAACCAACCATAATCCGATATTCGAGAGAAATAGTATATCAAAATAAGCTACAATATCTTCAAACTGTTTCAAATACTTTCTGAAGAGGGTCGCCAAGTTTGAATAGTAGCAAATATATATATAAAAGTAGTTTAAAATATACAATTGTATAACTGGATCTTGAATCTAAAAATATTATATTCTTTTTAATAAACACATAATAAACCAGAAAGCAAACCAAGAACCACGGGAAATCAATCAACTGGTGAATGTTCTGTGACTAATTACACAAGAGCTGATGGAAGTAATTGGTTTACATGACTTGTTCATATTTACTGGCATGAGAAAGTTGATTTAACTATTGATTGTCCGAGTAACTAGCTATATAGCTCTGTGCGCCTTGAATCCATGTTTTATTGTAAATGGTTTCTATTTTTTTAAAGCTTTTGATCACCGTTACTTTAATATGCGTATAAATACATATGTAAACACAATGTACTACAATAGAAAATATGGTATTAATAAGGGTAGTATAAGATAAGAAGTCATACGTATACAGAGAATATGTTAGCGAATTGTGGTATTTCTGTTATGTTTTCACTCAGCGACAGATTGTCTTACAGACCATGAGAAAGTCAAGCTCTCCAAGATTCATTTATACTGTAGCATAAAATATTTTCACCTAATTATTCTTATTTTTGAAATATATATATATATAAATATATACAAGTCATATTATATCTAGTACAACGTTTCTCTTTTATTCGCACCCTTTCTATGAAGGAAAAAAAAATGTCCCCTATTTCTTTTTGTCAAACTTCATAAGGTCTTTTAGCTTCACTCCGCATCGTACCAGGTCACAAAAATGACAGTTTACTCATAGTAAAGCCGTCTTACTTTTGATCTGGTTAACTCGGTATATTATCCTTCTCAGAAACTAATATCTATATATATTAATATATTTTAAAAAAAGCTTTATAATGGACTAATTGAACATCGGTAAACAGCATCCCCTTTCTTTTGTCTTTAAAGTCATTTGGTTTGTTCACCAGCTGCCCATTTGCCTTTCCATTCCATTTGATCTGCCTACTTCCCATACTTCTTCCACGTTTATTCTCACTACAAGCCAACCAAAGCCAAAAATGCACAAATTTATCTTATTGCTCTTGCTCTTGATTTCCTTCGAAATGACAATTGCCTTGCCAAATCTGCCTTTCTTGGAAGCTAGAGGTGTTGATCTTGCTACAACTCCTGCGTGCAACGGATGTTTAGACAGATGCAAGAAATCTTCCGATCCTTATTGCAGTGCTGATTGCTGTTGGGTTTGCATTCCAGGAAGAGGAGGAGTATGCCATTGCTGTTAATTAATACCAGAAAAATATATATACATAGTTAGGGTATCATAATATATGTACTATCTTCATCAATTTTATTTTGATTTTTAAAGTTATAATAAATACTATCTCTTTATATTTTGAATTATATTGATGTTTTCCTCTTCACTTGTATCAAACTATTTTATCTATCTAATAATAATCGTGCCTTTTCTTACATCTTTAAATAATATTTACCACAAAATTTAAAGCAGTATAATAGTTTGGAACGTGCTTTTTGTTGGATTATGTATAGCACCAAACGTTGAGCATGAATATACAATGAGAGTTTAGTAAGATATTTGTAGCTAAACTAGGGCACTATCTAACCAAGAATCTCATTTCTACAATGTTAAATAGTATCAGACCGATTATATTATATTGGTCAGAAGAGCTCCATACTCCCATTATTTTGTATTCTTCCAGGATTTTATTAAAACTGCTGACAAAAGCGCTTCCATACTCACAGTACTTTTCAATAGACAGAAAACAAATCCTTCGAGTATTCACGTTAGAACGTTTGTAATTTCACAGAAAATTATATACTACAAGCCTCAAAATATTAATACTAAACGAACTGTCCTTAAATCACATAATACAACCGAGTCTTGAGAAAACAGGAGATTTTAGTAAATATGTTAGAAACACAGAAGGATATTAAGCCATTATGTGATACAGGCTCATAATAAAACACATGAAGGCGTACTGAATATCCAATGCGATTTCCTGCACTTGATATTAGCTTTGTCTCCGTATTACAGTCAATAGTAGTCGGCGTTCTGGCAAATATTTTACTCTATCCAGATGGACTCTGGAATCTTGAATAAAATATAAATAATCGAAGCATTAGAAGAGTACTAGAGTAAAAGGATATATATATATATTTGTAGGCGGAGATGTAATACCTCACGTTTTTATTGTTCAGACTTCAGGGTGAGGGGCTACACAATGAGGTTTTACGTGCTTAGGCAAACTGTAAGCTATAAGACGAGAAAATGGGTTATAAAATTTAAAAGAATAGATAAAGTAGTGTGCTAATCTTCCAATTCATGCTGAAAAATGGTGATTAGCCTAATTACATATGGTGGGTTGGTTATGTGGTGTAAATGTCCAACTCAGTGCCAAGAAAATGAATACGGGCAGAAAGACATTTTTATTAAGGAACGAATAAAAAGATCTATTTAACTACTTTATTATTTATACACACACATCACTACTTCGAAGTTCACTACGAAGAGCGATACAAGAAACACCAGTGAATAAGATTCATGGTGTCAATTATCAGATAAAAAGAACGAAAGAGAAAGAAAGGAGACAGGTTCAGAGTGCCCTATAGTAGCAAGACACAATATTGATTGGTTCTATACATTTGATTTTTGCGACAAGTATATGGGAGACGGCGTAGACGTTATAAAGCTTCCAGAAGAAGAATCCGATATTGAATTTTAATACTATAAAAATTTTCAGTCGAATAAAGCCAGGAAGCCTTTAGAAAATATCTCGTATGAGGAAGTGAAATCAGAGAACTACTGGAAATCCGAACTTTACAGGGAATATGGCGAATTTATATTTGGCAAGCTTGAATCTGTTTCTATTCTATACTTTACTCCAACATATTTCTAAAAAGAAGGGTTTTGATGGACCCTATTTTGTGGATCTGTTATGACTGGCTAAGACCTCATATATAAATGACTGTAGTATATATATTTTTTTTTTAGTATTTTATTGATCTGCTGCCACGCTCTGCGTGCAGCTTTTAAAATGCCATCAAAGTGGACTTAATTGAACAGATAAGAGATAGAGAGACAAGGGGGAGGAAATACGAAAATATAAGAAAAAAACGGAATGAAACAGGAGAGGAAATTAGACAGGAAATACTTAAGCTAGTGTACCGATGTGTTTTTCTATTACAGTGGACGCTTTTTGTGCCACAACGCCTGACAGAAAGGGTTGGTCATCAAAAACAAATTTCCAATGAGCACTCCAAATCGCTTTAGCAGTGACAGCGGAAAGGATAATCCAAAGGCCTTGATGGGAGGAACGTGGTGGGAAGCTGCCTCTGGTAAGGAGAAGGCAGATTTCAGCAAGGTTCCAGGCCGGGCAAAAGCGAGAGAGAATGACGTTCCACACCTGCCGTTTGATAGAACAGCCAAAGAAAAAGTGATACTGATCTTCAGTAGCATCTTGACAAAAGATGCAAGATGAGCTGGGGAAGCGTCGAGGTATAAATAGATTGAGACGTTTTCGGGTTGGCGTTCTATCCCAAAGCATTTTCCACCAGACTGTGCGACAGTGGTGGGGTATAGAGACAGACCAGAAGTTACGCCATTGGACAGACGAATTTAGAGATGAGGGCACTTGCGGGCGAAGATGGCGTCGAAGAGATCCGGTGCTAGCTTTACCCAATCTAGTGTTGTCCAACCGTACCAAAGAAAGAAGTGAGGAAAGATCGGGGGAAGGGGTGTCAGTAGAAGGTCGATGTTCAAGGCAAGAGATAAACCAAGGACAGAGGACCATCCTGCCAGAATCAATCTGTTGGAAGAAATGACCGATACGATTACGTGCCCGAGAAAACGTACCACGAACCTTGCGGACAAGACGGTCATCAGTCTCCAGAGAAAATGCGTCAGAAACCAGAATTGTTTTCAGGTTCAGAGAAGAGTCAACAAAGGGTGGCACGTTCATCCATATTGAAGTTAATGGGAAGTGTTGGACCACAGTTGGCGGCAATTGCAAGTTGGATGGGAGAGAAGCTGGAAGAAGTGAGGTACAAGCGCGATGCAGTGGAAGAAGTGAAGTCGGGCAAGTTGCACTACTACAGGGAAACAAAAGTGCGATACTGGCAGAAGGAGCGCGAAAGTTTAGAGGAAGTATAAATTCGAGGTATGGCAGTATAAAGGAAGTAGAAGAAAAAGAGTGAGAATGCAAGATAGGGAGAATCCAGCGCAATTGAAGAGCTCGTTGTTGATGATCAGGATCAATCAGGCCCAAACCGCCTGATTTGCGTGGCAGACAGAGAAGCGGCCAGCCAGGGCTACCGAAACCCAGTCGCAGGAACGAGCGAATATGAGTGCGAATGGCAGCAAAGAAAGATAGCGGTGCAGGAGTTACGTATAGCATATGCCATACTGAGCTGAGAAGAAGTGAGTTTGCCACAATACTTTTACCACGAACGGACAAGCATCTTTGAGAAAGTAGCGTGCAATGGTTCCTAAGCTTGACCAGTAAAGCCGCACGGAAGGTCTCAAGCTGGGACGGATGTGAGCTCAATGGGAAGCCTAGGTAACGGATGGCAGTGGCGGAGTGACAGTCATGTCGACTGTGAATATCAGCAGCATCCAATACAGGGCCCCAATCCGGATGAAATTGTCCAGACATAGCAACAGCAACTGTCTTATGGAGATTGACTTTCGCGTTAGAGGCTAAGCCAAATATACGCAAAAGGTTGAGTAGACCACTCATCTCGGCAGGCAGAGAAAGAAAGACGAGAAGGTCATCGGCATAAGCAAGAAGTTTGAGTGGAGGTGGTGAGAGCTCAGGAGAGGACGATGAGAGAGATGGCGGAACCAAAAATCGGAAACCACGGATGGCAGGAGAAGCGAGAATGGATCTAAGCAAAGGTTCGAAGGCCAGGTTAAACAGCAAGGGGGAGAGAGGATCACCTTGACGTAGCCCCCGGCTTTGTAGAAAAGAAGAAGATATGTGCCCATTCACATTCACGTGGATTTGAGTAGAAAAGAAGAGACCACAGATGGAGTCAACAAAAATTGTGGGGAAACCGGCTCTGGCCAGGACAAGACGAAGATACGCAGGGTGGACACGGTCATAGGCCTTCTCCTGATCCAAAAGAAGGGCAACACATGGGTCTTGGGTTATTTGTGCATGTGACATGGCAAGGCGTGTCAGCAAACCATTGTCAGCAATAAACCGATCTGCCATAAAACCCGTTTGGAATGGTGTTATGAGTGTGTCGATACCATATCGTAAACGGGACGTAAGCATTTTGGTGAACAACTTGGCGTCACAGTTTATAAGAGATATGGGTCGCCAGTTGCGGAGAGAGGTAGTGTCACCGGCTTTTGGTAGGAGAACAAGTACGGTTTCCAGCCAAGATGGAGGAAAAACACCATGCAATGCATTATTATAGACTTGAACTGCAAGATTTTGGACCGTTGGGTGACAGAAGAGCCGAGCCCATAATGGGTAGGGCAAACCATCCATCCCAGGACTAGAGTTGATGGGGGTGGCTTTAAGGACAGACAGAATGTCATCCAAGGTGACATCAGCAATGAGGTAGGCAGAGTCAGTGGAAGACAGACGGGCAGAAGGTGGGAATTTGTCGATAAGAGAGTGTGCAGCAGGATAGTCAATGGGTTCCGGCGAGTAAAGAGATTGGTAGAAAGAGCGAGTATGGCCAAGCAAATCCGCGGGAGAGGTGTAGATCGCGCCAGTGACAGGGTCGACAAGAGAGGAGATAGTTTTTGCAGCGGCTCGCTGTTTGAGCACACGAAAGAAATATTTCGAAGAAGTCTCGCCAGCTTCACACTATTTAGCACCAGATCTGGCAGCCAAGGTGGAGGCCCGAGACAATTGTATGGTGGCAAGCTCATGTTCAATGCGGAGAAGTTGAGGAGAACGAGTATGAATTGCAAGTTCATTTCGAGCACGATGAAGATGGCGTTCCTGATTTCGGAGTTGACGTTGAACTCGTTTAGAGTACGTTAGGGCGAGCTGTTTGATAGCATGCTTAATATGATCCCACCGAGAACCGGAAGACATGTAAGGAGAGAGAAAAGAGTCGGCCTTATCCAGAAAATCGGTAATGAGAGCATCAAATTCATCATGCAGGAGATATTGCGTATTAAACCTCCAGACTCCAGGACCTGGTGGGCGAGAGAAAGGAATGGAGACCGCAAGAAGGCAGTGGTCAGTCCATAAAGGATTGATAAATGTTACATCAGGGCGTTCGGTAACAATGCTGTGTGGACGGAAAATGTAGTCGATGCGTGTGCGGGTGCGAAAGCTGTGGAAAGTGGGTAACGGGGGTGAAGAAGAATTAGTGATGGCATCCACGCAATTACCCTGAATGTATCCTTTCCAGTCCGGTGGATGGCTGCGACGATGGCTAAGATCACAGTTAAAGTCCCCCAGAATAAAGGCGGGCAGGGAAGGAATGACAGTAGGGAGAGTGCGTGCTAATGAGGAGAAGAAAGTACGCCGGTGGGAAGGAATGTTGGGTGCATAAATAACCACAACTACAAAAGGATTAACACGATGGTCGGTATGTGTAACCTTGACAACGAGTGCACGGTTGTCAGGAGAAACATGCAGTTGAGATAATTGGAGGAGGGGATCGAAAGAGACGAGGCCGCAATGTGGGGTCCATAGGCTGGCCTGTGCTTGGAATGTAAGGTGAATAGATGAGTGATGTATAGGGAGTAAACGAGTCTCTTGGAGAGCAAGTAATGAAAGGGAAGGGGAAAGGGTACGAAGGTGTCGGATGAAAAGAAGTTTTGGGGATTGCGGGTTATTGATGGTAGAGAGGAGACCTCGAACATTCAAGGTTCCTATGCGAAGATGTTGTACAGTCATTTATGAACTTGGCTGACCTG